AACATATTTTACAATAAAAGACAATTTTTTTTAAAATACAAAGATCATAAAACCTGAAATTACTAATTACACAATCTGATTCAGATTGTGTTTGATTTATATCTAAACTGAATTGAGAAGTCAAACAGGAATCACTTCTTAGCAGGAACAGGCCTGTTTTACTGTATACACAGGGCGCCCTCTTGTGGCAGCATCTCTCTTACAATTTTCTACAGTATATAAAACAGCAAAAGATGACACCATTTTAGTTATGTTAAATGTTAGATGAAGTCACCGACTGAGTCAGATCAGCTTGGGTGGCAGATTTCTCCTGGCCAGAACACAGCGTCAGCAACGTCTGCATTTAAACATTTTCCTCCAAGGACGTCATGGTCCCAGTGTTTGGATGAGCACTTGTCCTTTTCATTAGGGCACAGGTATCATGTGTTTGTTTTACATGACATCACATCCATAAACTTTAGCAAGAACTAAGTTGCTATTGGAAGTGTCTTTGTGGCGTTCTTAGACACTGGTCCAGCTAGACACAAAACTAAAACGGACGGTGTTCAATCAGCTAATGTCATAAGCCAGAGTTGATGGAACCATCAGAGGATAATACATTTGCTTTTGTATTTTTGTTTCATTTCATTTATTTCTTGTTCGTGCTTTTTCTTCAATTCCTCTCTTTCTTCTTTCAGATGTTTTTCTTTGCTTTTTGAGAGGTTTTGTAAAAGATTGTAATCTTTGTCACGTCTCTCTTCTGCCTCGTGCAGTTGTCTTTCTTGTCTTTGCTTCAACTCACACATTTCCTCCATGTGTTTCTCTATCAGTGCATTGAAGTCCTTCATGTATTTCTGTCTGAAATCATTGAGTTCTTCAGCTTGTTTTCTGGCCTCCACTTCATGCTTATTCTTCATTTCCTTCATTTGTTTCTTGTAGTTTTCCTCCATATCACTTCTCTCCTTCTCCTCCTGTTCTCTTCTGTTTTTGTCCTCTTCCTTTCTTTTCTTTTCATTAATCTCTCTTTCTTTTTCATATTCATCTTGGAGCTTTTTAAGTTTTGCTCGTTCTTCCTGTTGTCTCTGTTCATCCTCTTGTGTTCGTTTTCTTCTTTCTTTCTCCCAAGTCTCTTGTTTCTTTCTCATCTCTTCTCTAGTCTCCTCCAGCTTTTTGTCTGTGGTTTCCTTTGATTCTGATTTTATCTGTTTCTCCAAAGCTGAAAGTTTCTGTTCCCATTCCTGTTTCTTAATTTCTTCTTCTCGCTCTCTTTTCCTGTTTTCTTTTTCTCTCTTTCGCTCTCCTTTCTTTCTCTCCTTACGGATCCTGCTTGATCCTCTCCTGCTTTTCTTGGAGTTGTTTTTCTCTCAGTTGTCGCTCCTTTTCTATGTCTATCCTCTGTTCTTCCATTCTTCTTTCCTTTTCTTTCATTTCTTCCTCGTGTTTCTTTTGAAGCTCCTCCATCTCTCTCTTCATCTCTTCTTCTTCTCCTTCAAGAGTCTCTCATTTCTTTCTTATAGCGCTTCAGCTTCTTGCAGCATCTCATTGTGTAGCAGCTGCCTCCATTAGTTCTCACCATTTCTTCAATCTTGGTTATCAGCTCACTGACTTGAGTTCTTTTTGTTCCTCACAGTTATCAAACACGTGGTATCTTCCTCCACAGTCAGCAAGCAGTTTCTTAAAGGAATCATCACATTCCTCTTCAATGTATTCTTCAATGGACATGTTATCATGCTTTAATGAATCTCCTCCAGTTAGAAGAACGATGGTGAACTTTTCAGCATTCTTCCCAAAGCCTTTCTTGATGAGTTGTAATGTCTCCTTCTCCTCTGGTGTAAATCTGCCGATGCGTAACACCAACAGGAAGACATGTGGTCCTGGAGCCAGAAGACTGATGCATTTAATCAGCTCTTCTTGAACCTCTTCATGAGACAAGCTATTGTCAAACAGACCAGGAGTGTCAACCACAGTGACCGGACGACCGTTCACATCACTTTGTGCTTTCTGACAACATTTTGTGACTGATGTTTGGATATTGGCTTCAAATCTTTCCTCCTAGAATGGTGTTTCCTGAAGAACTCTTCCCATTGCCAGTCTTCCCTATCAGCACAATCCTGAGACTCTCTTCACTCAGCTTATCATCATCACCTGTGAAAAAAGAAGACCTAGATTACCTTCAATGCTGACAATTTATAGAGTACATTAATAGACTTTTGGTATGATTAACAATAGGTTTTTATTTTAAAAAGTGATTTAGTATAATTTATATTTATAAATAAAATAAAAAGTACTTACAGATGATTGGGTCTTTTGTTTTCAGGTTCTTCAGCTCAGCCTGTAGAGTTTGATCTTTTCTATTTGGGCATGTGCAAATGTTTGTGTTGTGAAGATGAATGATTTGGATTTATCTTTGTGCATCTTTTCCACCATGTCCAACAGCTCTGGGATCTGCTGCTTGTCCCTGATGTTTAGAACCAAAGATCTTCCTCCACAGCTCTGAAGAAGCTCCTGGATGGACTTGGTTTCTTTTAGAAAGTTAACAACAGCTGGAGCTGAGGGATCTGACTCAACAGTGAACAGCAACACAGTGATGTCATTGAATCGACTCCCAAATGTGTTCTTCATGGTCTCCAACTCTCCTTTGTCTTCATCAGTGAGTGGACCCACAGGTAAGACCAGGATGAAGGCATGGACGCCCTCAGGATCACAGAGAGAGATACACCTGAGTGATTCCTTCATCACCTCCTCCTGAGGTTTTCCATACAGGGCAGGACGCTCCACCAGGGAAACCCAATGTCCGCTCACCTCTCCCTGATGTTTAACACACTCTGATGAGCTGGAGACTGAATGAAGATCTGTCTGACCTAAAATGGCCTCAGCTGCTGAAGTCTTCCCTGCTCCTCTCCTTCCACACAGAACCAGGCTCAAAGCTGTTTTCATAAGACCAGACTTTGGGGCGACTGAATCCTCAATGACAGTGAGAAAGGTTCCTTTGTTTTCAAAAAAACAGTTTTCTCAATCTTTTGCATTAATACATCACGGTTGTTGTCAGCCATACTGTAGTGTTGTTCTCCACAGTCTTTAATGAGTCTTCTAAAAGAGACATCTGTTTTATCCTCCTTAAGTGTGCTGATGACCACTGAGTGTTTGAAAGCATCTTGACTGAAGAAACTCAGGATGAACTTCAGTGTTTGTCTGTTCTCTTCAGTGAAATCAGAAGGTTTCACTAACAGCAGCACAACATTTGGTCCAGGAGGACAGAGACTCACAGCCTTCTTCATCTCTTCTCTCAGCATCTCCAAAGAAACACTGAAAACATCTGGAGTTTTCACAACTGTTAGAGGCTTTCCTCTCCATTCTCCACTCTGCACCATTTGTTTGGCTGAGGAAAGCTTTGCTTTAAAGGTTGACCTGTGTTGTTCTTTTCCGGTGATAAAGTCTCCAAGTTTTGTTGTTTTGTCGTCCTTTATCCCCAGCAGCAGAATTCTGACTGTAATAGAAAAATAAAATGTAACGTGTAGAGAGACATTAAGTCATGCCACATGGTTAAACTAAAGCTTACATTCTGTTTTCCATATTTAGCTTTCAATGGTTTAATGAAAGGAAAACTCATAATCTTCATGTTAGCTTCTAATTAGCTTAATCCAGACAGTAGCAGGAAAATATAAACCATTAAATCAATGTCTGTCTGTGTGTGTCTGTTCATACCTACATAATCATTATATATATTTATATTCCTCAACCTGTTTACAAACTGTTAAACCGTCACATTAAAACAGGAAGTATACAGTAATTTACATGTATGCTTCCTGATTTAATGTGTCCATAACTTTTACTTTATTACAGCATAACTTTTGCTAAGCAGTTTACACAAATACATACAAATACACTTTATTACTTATTTAACTTCTGCGCTTTACAGTGCTGGACCTTGCATATATAAACTTACAGTGATTTTCTGTAATTTTACATACATTTTAACCCCCCAGCCATGGCCACGCCCTTTAACAAAACTTAAGCTTTTAATACATTTTATTCTCCAAGGTATCTACGGTACCAAGACCAAATTGGGTTGGATCGGATAAAGCCTTCGAGAGGACTGATTTTGAATATGCACCCTGAAACTCATTTGTTCCTGCTGCCATCACCTTTTTAAACCACTAACTGTGTTGCCTCTGTTTCTTATCTATTATTTACTGTCCTTTCTATGTTGTTTGCTCATTTCGGGCTGTATGTATGTGTGTGTTTTACTGCTGACTGCAAAACAAATTGCCCTCTAGCAGGGATAATAAAGACAACCTTGAACCTTGAACCTTGTTCATGGCTTAAATAGGCATTATTTTAATTATACAACTCACTCTTTTGGTGAGTCTGGTGATGCTCCAGATTCCTTCCTGTTAAAAGGCAGTTTTTCCCTGCCACTGTAACTTTACTGTGCTCATGGTAGATTAATGTTGGGTCTTTGTAAATAATATAAAGAGTACCGTCTAGATCTACTATTTTTGTGTCTAAAGACAGCATTTGTTATGAATTGGCACTATACAAATAAAGATTGATTGATTGTAAATCAGTACAAAATGGCTCACCACCTTTTGCATTATGGGCATGGGCCCAAGTTGTTTTTTAGTGCGGGAGCTGAACTTTGTACTGCTATCAGATCATACAGTCAAGTCTCTATTGGATTCCGGTTTCACATTTTTGGATACAATATATTTATAATAATAATAAAATAAAATAAAAGTGATTATAATTTCCCAAGTTTTCTCTAAAGGGAGATGAGTTTTGGGGGGATAAGGGTCAACCACAGTGGCGCCAATATTGTACTGGTCAGTAATAATAAAATGTGTCTATTTATGAAAGTTTACTTACTTTCCCCTGAGGGAGGGGGTGTCACCCTGTTAGCCCAGCTAAATACCTGTAAAAAGAGCTGTGAAAAGATGACATCATTGACTATCAGCTTCATATTCTCATGAGATCAGTAATGATTTTGAGTTTAAACATTTTGATTAGAACAGATCTCTTACCAGAAGAAGTAACAGCATCCAGGATTCTGGACATTGTTTCCTTTTGTTGTATTCTTTGTATATCATCAGGGGCATCCATGAACCTTCACAGCTGACATGCTCTCCATTGTGTTCTTTCACAATTTGACTGAAACGGTCAACAGCTCTGGAAGTTCAAGGTTTGCCTCCAAATATCTGTATCTACATTCTCTGATCATCTCTTTTAAGGGTTGATTTTGCAAATATTTTAACACACTTGAGCCCTGCTCTCTGGGTGTTGATATCAGTATCAGTGAATGCTCAAATGACTGATCACTGAAGCGTTTAAGAACTCTACAGAATCTCTGTTTATATTCCTCTGTGAAGTCATCAGGCTGGAGAACCAACAGGAACACATGAGGTCCAGGATCAGAGAGTCTCACACAGTCTGTCAGATGTTCTGTCAGTTTGTCTGCAGAGATGGTGGGATGAAGCAGATCTGGAGTGTTGATAAGAACTATGTCTTTCTCCTTTATTTGTCTCCTGACTTGCTCACATTGGTTTGCTTCTTTTCCAGTGTTGAACACAGTCTCTCTCATTATGACGTTCCCCACTGAACTCCTCTCAGACCATGAGTTCCCCAGCAGAACAACCCTCAACTCAGACACTGTGAAAAGAAAAATGTAAACAGACTAACTGGCTATTTTTTTTAAATCCAGTTTTCTTTCTGTTTATACAGATGTGACCAAAACAGATATTCTTATACAAATGGATAGAAGTTTCACTCACTGTCAGGTGGCAACCATTCCATACTGTTACAGCGCCTCAGGGGATGCAGATCATCTATGATTGAAACAAGTACATTTTGTCATAGGTGTGCACAGTCTTTCATGACATTTTACACATAAATAAAGTAGAAGTCTACGGAGCCTGGGAGGTGACATGAACTAACACATTTTATAAAGCGTGCAAGTTATAACTTTAATAGCGGTAATTAAACAAACTAACTGGTGACAGTGTGAGATAATATGATGTATGTGGTATAAAACTCTATATAAACCTTATAAACACATAAAAAAACGGAGATGGACCGGACACGCATCTGGTGGAAGTTGGTCGTGAGTCATCTCCACTGTCAGGACCGGACATGATGTAGGCCTAGTTTGTTGTAGAAACGCTTGGAGACAACGGTAGATGACTATCTTTATCATCCAAAACAGCGGTAATAAGATTTAAGATTTACTTTTATTGATCCCCACAAGGGGAAATTTCAGTTTTTACACTCTGTAGTTCATGCAACACACACACAGGCTGAAATATACACACACATGCACAAACAGGATCCTATGGACATGCACTAATGGAGAGATGTCAGAGTGACGGAGCTGCCCACAGCAGGCGCTCCTGAGCTGGTGGTGGGGAGGGGGTTTGGTGCCTTGCTCAAGGGCACCTCGGCAGTGCTCAGGAAGTGATCTGGCACCTCTCCAGCTACCAGACCAACTTCCATATTTGGTCCACAACGGGACTTGAACCGGCGACCCTCCGGTTCCCAACCCAAGTCCCTACAGACTGAGCGCTAAGCGTCTGCTAAGTGAATTGTAACATTGTGAATAAACCCACACAACTATCAAACATTCACATTCAGCTGGAAGTCCACAGCTAAAATGTCTTTCTATTTAAAGGTAAGTCTGTGTGTGTGTGCCTACATGTGTGTGTATTATTTATTGTTAGTCACTGCCTTTTTTTACTTGATTTGTTTACCTCCGTGCTCTGAGCTTATGATGGTGAAATGTTCCTGTTTAATTATAATTCTTCATGTTCTGACAATAAAGAATAATTAAACCATAATTAACCATCTGGTTTCTTCATCTTTCACTCAGGAACAAAAATCAGCTTTTAAATGTATTATTATTTATATATCGACTGATATGAAATTGTTCATCTACCTGCCACCTTGGCCGGTGAGTCAAAAAGTTAATTTCGGACCCTGCCTGCACACCCTCTTGGTCCCCCGTTCTGCCTCCTCCATGCTCCTCACCACACCTCCTTTCCGCCTATCATCAATGGGATCTCGAGCATTTAGCCGTACGGCCCCCGTCTCTGGAACTCTCTCTCACAAACCATCCATGACATTAACTATCTCCCCACCTTCAGATCACAGCTCACAGCTGCTGTTTTTGTGTTTTTGTTTTTAAGTAGTTGATAGTGTTCGTGTTTTTTACTCTACTGCTGTGTCTGTAAGGTGACCTTGAGTGACATGAAAGGCACCCTTAAATAAAATGCATTATTATTATTATTATTATTATTATTATTATTATAGGTGAAAAAGTTTTGAACATGTTTTTAGATTTCTTTGTTTAAGGTCAAGATTTGGCCTGACGTGATAATCGCTTGTTTTTATTATTAAAACTAAAAATGCCTCTCCTTTTTAAGGCAGAGCCTCTGTAGGGTGACAGTTGGCTTTAAAAAGAAGTGGAGACGAGAAGTGGTAGGATTTTATACTTTTACAGGGTTTGTCCTGGCTCAGTATTACCTTATTTGACAGAAATCTGTGCATTTCCTGTTATTTCTGACCATTTTATAAATAATATTATCATTATGCTTAAGTTACTGAAACCCAATTCAATCTGGTAAAGATTTTTTTTAATTGCAACAATGAAACATGGGAGGAGAGGGATTTTGAGGGAGAGGGGTGTAATGAGATTGGGAGAGGCGAGGTCACATCCTGCCAAAAGTACATTTATTTGAATTACTAAGGTATTATGTCAAATAATCACAGATTTAAGTCACAGATAATTTGGATCATTTGATCAGATCAGGAAATTGAGAAATAATAAAAATATATTTGCTGGCTCTAACGCAGCGCTGGTTGACAGTCTGTGTGGAGAAGTTCACAGACTACAGCTGGCTGACGTTACAGTCGTTAAGATATTGATTGTTGATAAAAGCAGACACGTTGGAATTGAACAGAGAAAAGTTGAACGTGCGTTCCCGACTCGGTCCATACGGATAGCGGATCAACCGGGTTCCGTTTCACTACAAGTCAACAGGTGTGTGCGGTGGTTGGTGTTCCGGTGTGTGTGTGCGCGTTTGCAGCCATGTATGTTGGTGTGTCTCGTCTCGGCGTGCCCCCCCGATGACCCGTCTGCAGACAGCAGAGGAGCAGGGACAAGTAGCCGCAGCTATACGTCATACGCGGTTTAGTATAGTTTTAACATGACTGTTGGGATAAATATTTACCGCCATGAAGAGCATTGCTCTTTGAAATTAACTCCAAACGGAAAATCAACCTGAATTTAGCGCTTGTGGGTGTCAGCGGAGCGGACGGAACCAATCAAAAGAAACGAACAGTCAATCAGCTGGCTATCCAGCGCGAGCCACATGCGTAAACGGATGAGAGGGGAGATGACTGCTAGAAGTCAGAGACGTCGTATTTAAGTTTATGTTCTGCTTGTTCAACAGTCGTTTGATGTATTGATACTTTTAACATTCAGGGAGGATTTGATTTGCAATTTTCATCGTCTTTTTTTTCTTTTGGCGCTCTGGATTTTCCTTTGGCGCTGGGTAAAACCTCTTTGGGGGCGCCAAAGAATTGTTTATGCAGGAAAAACCCTGTTTTATGCTTCTTACCCAAAATAACTTTGTATCAGTTTTTGTTTGTGTGTTTTCCCTCTTTAATAATTCACTTTGAGAACACACAGAGATGAGTTTGAACACATACTGGAGTTCATGTATTTTGAACACAGTTAGGTGGTCCAACGGCACAAGGTAAGAAAATAGCCCAATAACAGAAATAGAGCAAAATATTGAATGATGGAGGATTAAAAATATCAAATTAAAATGCACAAGGTAAGCTAAAACTATGATGACAAATAAAAGTTCAACTTTATTCAGAGATTTCAGACAATAGTGCCGTACAGTCTGAGAGTGAAATGATCACTTTATGAAGGAGTGCAGGAAAACTTCCTGTTGTGAAATATGTCAACAGAATGAAACATGAAAAATAGGCCTATTATATATATTAGGATGTCAAACCATTGTGAAGAGAGTTACTTAAGAGAAAGAGAAACTTACAAATACTAACTATGTCTGCCTTACATATATGCAAACATTGCTTTCATTATTTATTGACATTAATCTCTTCTAGTTTTGGAATGCAGGTAGACATAGAAACTTATTTTGTCCTAAAATATGAAAGAAGGCTAATTGCACTTATATGCTGCACTGTGATATTTAAAGAGGGAATTTTGAATGTGATATGTTTTTCTGAGAAGAAAGCCTTTACTACAGACTCAATCACCATTATATTTCTCTGCATTTAATTCACTATAGGGCTGCACGATATATTGTTACAGCATCGTCATCGCAATGTGAAGAAAAAAATACATATCCGTCTGGAGCCGAAAAATATATTTGAGCCTTTCAATTAAGTTTATGTAGCCTGTCTAAGCCCATTCACATTACTATTATATCTAAATGAGCATACATTTCTATATTTTACCACATTACATGCAACACCTCACACAGTTAGAGCACCTTGCTCTGTCATCTAACCTGCTCAGGGTCGGGCAGAGTGAGAGGGAGCGGTGATGTGAGCGGAGAGGAGCAGGGACTTTGACAATCTGACAGTTTGATAACTATGTGCTAACGCAAGGGGAGAGTGGTTGGCCAAACAGCAGTTGATTTTGGTTTCATGCTGGTGCTCAAGGACGACATCTACTGGATCAAAAAAGGTGCACATTCATCCTTTATAAAGTTAAGGACATACACCAGACCCCTCTGTGTTTAGAATGATATATTGTATGTAGTGATGCATAAAATATATCTGCTCAAGAAAATAAAAAGTGAGACAAGTGGAGACAGCACTGTTTGGAAGGTCTACGGACCACTCTGATTATTTCATTCTGGTTTTGAAAGATACTGTAATATAGCCTGTACATTTTTTATAGAACAGTGTATAGCATGTTTTTATTTATGGACTCAGAAGTTGTGAAGTTGTCTGTTACTATTTCTTAAATCCAAGACTCACTGACCTGCTTAAATGTCTCAGTATCTCTTTTGGAGTCTTTAAACATGTAGACAGAGGATAAAACAGAGTCTGACTGGACTCACCTGCTGCTGCAGTCGCCATGATGTCATCAGAGACTAATTCAAATGGAAAGAACAGCTCTGTTTGAGAACCTAGAGAAAGGATTTAAAATATTTAAAAGGGTAACATGTACAGTAGCACATTACTCATTAGTAAATAAATCAATGAGTGCAGACATCATTCATAGCAATTCCTGTAATATCACTGAATTCATATACTTGTAAAGTAGTTTAGCTCAAGTGATTAGGAAGGTGGTAGGAAGGCATTTCAGCAGACTTCATTGAAGTTAATAAAAACAAAAGTTCAAAGGAAAAAAGGTAAATTACCTCAAAACTAAATCAAACTAAGGCATAGGGCTGGACGATATGGACCAAAACTCATATCTTGATATTGTTTGGCTGAATGGCGATACTCGATATATATCAATATGTATTTTATTAACAATGACAACACATGGAAAATAAACTATCTGTTGGTGAATTAAAAAAATAATATTATAAAATAAAAATGTTCCTTAAATACAATAAAAGAGAGAGAGAGGAGGAGCAGGGTTAAGAGGGACAGACAGTCAGTCATCATCAGTGAGATGAGAAAAAGGTGACCTGGCACCTCTATCACATTATTTTAATGTAACATAAACTATATCAATATTTACGATATTGTCTTACCCTATATCTTGTTTGAAAATATATCGATATATCTTAAAAACTCAATATATTTCCCAGCCCTACTAAGGCATGTGTCAAAGGCCTCACCTCTCTTTCAGCAATAGCAAACTTTTCCTGGCTTTATAGACTGCCACAATAACAAATTAGCTGCAGCTTGGTGTAACATAACTCAAAGGGTGGGTGTACACTTTTCTCTGAAACCAAAGAAATCAACATGAACCCTAAAATGAACCTTAGCTCATTAACCCAACCCAATTAACTTTAAACATTAAATTATATTCTATTAATAACTCAAATAGGCATAAAATAAAAAAACAAAGACAACATAACTCAAGATAAACCCTACAGTCGATTTGCCCCAATGATGTCAGTGATAACATCATCAATCTTATAAATACCCAGGAAGTGCTGAACCAGCCCCTTTAGCTGCAGGACCACATGGGGAACTGAACAAAAGAATAAATAAAGGTAAGTATCCGATAAAGAGAACAACAATTATATTGTGCAAATCCTGAAACTAAATAAAAACTGACTGAACTAAATCAAAGCTGTGTGTTTGCTTTTACTTACTTTGTACTTTGGTATGAACTGTAACATAATGCTTACACAAACAAACCCAGGACAGTAAGTGCTGCAATGTTACACAAGCAAAGGTCAATTATCGCAAAATGAACAACTTTAAAGAATTATGTGATTTGATATGAATGAAGATTTGAGTGACAGGTGGGAAAAAGTGAAGAGTCTCACAGTCTCTGCTTAGTTCTCGCTTAGTTCTGGGCATGAATTACATTAAGCTTATAGAAATAGCTGAATATTCACGCTGATTGTTATGAAGACTGCATATCCTTTCATGCATTTCTACTTGTTCTTTTATATACTCTTATATGCCTTAGTCTATCTGTCGCGCCTACTGTGCATTGCTGTTGGCCAGTCAGCTGTCCCTTAGTTCTGTAAAAGATTCAAGTTATTTAGCTCTCCATCGTTTGGACAGTTAGAACATGTCTGTGTTCATAGAGTTTGTAGGTTTTCTTTTCATTTCATATAGGAGTGGACATTTGAAATGAAAGCTTATACTCATTAGCCAGGATAGTTCCGATTGTATGAGCAAATGCAAAGTACAGCAAATGATTACAGGCGAGAAGCAACAACTGTATGTAATGTGTGGCAATGGTGTACTGATATAAAATGTTAATTTCTCAGGTATTCAGAGGGACTAGTAAAGAGGCGCTCCTCAAGTGTACCTTTAATAAACATTAGCATGCAGGTGTGACTGTAACTTCAATAGTGCTGCCCAGTATCTATTCATCTTCTGTATTTATGTTCATATAAATACATGAAGGAAGTTATTTTTATGAGAACTGATATTTACAGTATTTTTTGCCATCGCTATGTTAGGTCAGTAAAGAATACAGTCTCTCATGTTCATATCAGTTATGTTGGTTATCTCTGTACATTGGATTGCAGTGTTGTGTTTAAAGAGTAACTAAACCCTAAAACCACTTTTTTCAACTATAAACCTCTGTATCTGATTATTAAGTAGTGTTATGGATCAATCCAAGTCCCAATCTCGACATTTAAGTACAAAGTATTGAAATTTGAAATATTGTGTTAGAAGTGTGCAGAGTGTCTGCCCTTCCGTTTGAATAACTCTAACGGCTGTGTAGCGTACAGTATGACGTAGGAGTACAGCCCCACGTCACCAAACCTATAAAAGCCTCTGATAACGGCTGATAACGGTGCGAAAGGAGTGAGTGGGGGAGTTTACCCCCCCCACTCACTGCTTGTTGATACATTGACATAAATGCATTTTTTGAAATTCCAGGGTAGAGCAGCACAACTGAAAATATGGGGTTTAATAAATCGCATATAATGGATTTTTCATTATGTCCTTTATTTTTATGGAAAACCACACACAAATATTTCCCTGTCTGAATAATAAATGCAGCACAGAGTGTGAATCTGAAGATTAATCCATCTCAGGTGTATTTTTACTGAAGCCCCATAGCGAATACACCAGCAAACTGTAAGTGGTGGTTCAGCAAATCTCACCTACTGATTTTTACAACATCGAACTGCCGCCATGAAAGCTGCCTGAATGATTGTTACAAACTTCTCAATAAATCACCTCAGCTCAGAGAATTTTTTCGAAAATGTATTAAAAACTAAAAACCAAAATACCACACAAATCTTTTTTCAAAATGTTGTTTGTAATATAATAAATTCACTTTCAATATGAGCTTGCTGACTTGTTGTAGGAATAGACACATTACAGCAAAAATATTTTCATGGATCACCTACTCAGAATTGACAATAAAATTGACTTGAAGAAAAGTACAACACTTATGGGATCTTATATAGTGGCTGAAAGCACACGTATAACTCCAGCAAGACATTTAGTTATAGTGATAACTCTGGACACCATGGGCCACCATTTATGCCACATGGGAAGAATTCACATCACAGAGACTAAATATCTTCATCCACAGCCATGAAGTTACAAAGACTCAGAAGAGAAATAAACACTTATTCCGTTTCATAAATATCAATTTCCAAATCTATTGTCGATATTAAAAGTCACAAAATACTGAAATGAGTCACTTTTGATTTACAAATTATCAATTTTGTTCATTAAGAATAAAGGGTGTCATTGACAGTCTACCTACGTAGGAGAAGAAAAACATGGATGTACTTACCCATTAGTAGCCCAGAGTCTAACCCTGTAAGAGAACCAGAGATGGTATTCAAATCTTGGGCATTCCAAGTCTCCCAGAGCAGTAGCATGATTTACCTGCATGTGGTTTGTCTGTGACGACGAGGTGATGTTGCTTCCACTGTGGTCAAATATAGTAAATATGTAGACCTTGTCAGAAAGTTACGAAGCCAGGTTTAATCTACAATCAAAACTGAAGAATAAGTGATAAGAGGAATGGGAAAAAGTAACTATGAGTATGAAAGTATGAATTACATAAACACTGAGGTGAGAAGAAATATTCAACTGCAGCTCCTTTAACAGAAATGAAAAAAAATATCTGGAGAAAAACAAAGTTTAAATAGACAGTGCGCCCTCTTGTGGCAGCGCAGGCACTTTATGTAATCATACAACTTCAAGATTTGGTGAAGCAACAGGTCAATCACTTACTGAAGTCTGTTGTTTTTTAAATACACAATATGAATCAAATTCTGTCTGTGAAGTCATAATTTATCATATTTAACTCATCTGGTCAATAGTTTACATGATTTTGTTTTTCATTATAAACGGTGGTATTATAAAGGAGAGATAACCTGGTGTCTGAGATGTAAACAAAAAAAAGATGGCAGGCAGCAAAGGGCTCTTTATAACAAAACTATGAAGAGAAAAACAGATTTAAGAAAGCATTGATATTATCTACAGACTCAATGTCAGCTAACATTGAGCAAAGCGTATGGTACTCTGATATATAATGCTTTTAGTACCAAATAATAAAAAAGGACATACAAAAGATCATTGTTAGACATTAAATGTTTGTTATCAAATTCATGATAATGTTTGTTATCAGATAAGGTTTAGTAGAGAATACATTTGCCTAGTTTCTCTAGTCCTGAAGGTTAAACTAAGCGTCTTTGAGTATTTAGAAAAGCGCTATATAATCTAATTTATTATTATTATTATTATTATTATTATTATTATTATTAAACTTAAGTTAATTAAATAAAGTTATACAAGTTTGGAGGTATAAAACCACAACAAGATAAGAGAGCTTTTATACCAACCACCAGGAAAGTAGTACTAAATAAATTAATAAATAAAACAACTTACCAAACAGCACACACGTTTTTCATCTTTCTTCCTCGGCCGTCTCTTTCTGCAAAAGTTATTCCTCCATGTAGTCTGGTTCATAAAGGTTTCCTTTAGTCTCCAACGTTATCGACACTTTAATGATCCTTCATGATTTGAGTTTCCTTCATCAATTGTCTTTTCTTAAAGCTGCCTAAGATGTCAGGTCGTTTACCTTAAAGTCTCTGTATATGTGTTTCATGGTCTTCTTGTAGGACCCCTACCTGTTATATGAATCACTCATGAAACTGCTTTCCCCTTACAGTAGAGAACAGGTTTAGTGCTTATGGGGGTTGCCTCCGTTTACCGCAATTAACATGTTTACACAGCGGTAATTCATTTTTGCGGTTATAGCGACAGCCCTCGTTACAACATATTTTTAATAGTAATTTTTACAAATCTTTAACTTTACTTCTTTGAAGGTTATTGTAAAGTTGAAGGCTTTCTGATTATATTCATTCTACAATTCCTGAATACATTTATATAATACACGTCTAAAAAAGGTCCAGATATTTGGGATTAAAAAAACGCTAAAGTAGTGATAAAGAGCAAATTGTCAACCTACCTCCATCTGTTTTTAGCCGGTCAGTGGCGCCATCTTGTGGAGCCCCTGCAGAGTTGACTCAGTCAACCCAGAATTTGAATCCAGTCTCCCGTTAACTGTCGATCTATCACAAATTAAAACACACAAATAAGTAGAATTGTGGCTTTTACGTTATTAGTATGTTGTGTAATCTTTACAATATTCACATTTACTTTTGTAAAAGACTCAGTGATCATATCGATCATGTTTAATATGATTTAGAGTGATCTGTCAAGCAGTATCTCACATTATTTTTGACTCAACGTACCTAGCTTGATTTTCTTCCATGACTCACGTCGCTTCAGAACAAATCTCCGAGGAGTATCTTCAAGTTAACTTGTAAACAGAAGTTTACTAAAGATTTCTTCTGTAGTTTGTCTTTAGTTTGTGCCGCTGAAATGACGTTTAAATTCCCTCTTCTGTGGTAATCAAGCTGTTGAGAGTTGAGAGGAGTCGGTTGGCTAGCTGGATCAAATGTGCCGGTGTACGGAGTTGGTCGCATAGCAACCGGCAGAGATTTCGGGAGGGGGATGTTGGACAGAATGGACACTTGACTTTCTGAAATATGTCCGCTTGTTGTTTGAATAATGTACACTATTAATGGTTAAACATTATAATAATCGCATATGGATGAGAGCAGTCTATATATTATACCTATTCTACGAGGCAGGTGGACAGAGTGGTACCGACCGTCCCCCCCCCCCCACCTTCAGGTGGATCCGTCCATGAAGCCTTGAGATCAAGCGGGAAATAAAGTAATGCTATTAAAACAGTTAGAGAGGAGTTTAATAATTATACAATTTTAATGGATAATAAAGAACAGGAAGAGTGCTAAGGTGGAGAGAGAAACTCAGAGAGACTGGTGACACAACATCTTCTAAGACAGACAGACAGACAGACACACACACACACACACACACACACACACACACACACACACACACACACGCACACACACACACACACACACAGATAGATAGATAGATATATTTACTTTATTGATCCTAAACTGGGAAATTGTGGTGTTACAGCAGCAGGTTAACAGAGCAGAACAAAAATAATAAAATATAATGTTATTAAAATGCTAATGCAGGAAATGTCCTGCAAGCTGTGATGACAGTTACAGTCCAACTGCAATAACATGAAGAGAATAGAGTTTATTACTCGGATAGATACTGAAGCTGGACTGTACAGGTACAGTAATAACTAAGAGGCAGAAGGCTCAGACTTCGGTCAATGGTAAATGGTAAATGGACTTTTCTAGTCTTCTGACTACTCAAAGCACTTTTACACCGCATGTCACACCTACACATTCACACACATGATGTAGAGGTTGCTATGTAGTGAGACCATCAGAATTAACTAATTCCATTCATATGCCACCGAAGAAGCAGCCGAATAAATTGGAGTTTAAGTGTCTTGCCCAAGGACACATCAGACATGTTGCTGCAGGAGCTGGGGACAAACCCTCAATCAATTAGAGCATACTATTTATGTTTTCACTTGATTTGTGGTAAAGAGTGTTATATATTCTGGCTTAATTAAACCCACCTGGGCTGTTAGATCCTGTGTTGTTAATGAAGTCGATAGTTTTAGATTTGTTATCATGCTGTTCATTTTGAGTTTACCTGTAGTAGGTCTAACCCTTTTAAGGTACTCAAGTACAGGTGACGACTTTGAGACTGTAGCCTACCTATGACCGTTGTGAAAGAGTATAGTTTGATCTTTTTTTCCCATTCCTGTTGTTAATGTTTTTGGAGTATAAAGTGCCAAGAAACATTACGCAAAGTTCATCATTTATACTTTTATTGAAAATAGACTTACACACTCACATGATATTTTACAAGTAAGAACAATGATTTGAAACATGTACTGATATATTATTTATAATATTTACAAGAATGTATTGACACAGTTCCCAACATAACATCCCTCACCAGGTTCCTTTGAGGCTTACAGACACATCTTTTTATCATGAATTGAATTGTTAAATGAACTGCAGATTGGTTTAGGGGATGTAGTAGCCACTGATTAGAGGTCTTTACAGGATACAGACTCAAACCCTCATGCACACACATAATGTTCTGCGATGTAATAATTATTTAAAATGTATCAAAGATGCACCTGCCGTATATCACTGTAATAAAACAAATAGTACATGAAGTAAACATGGAAATAACATTTATCAATGACACTGTCTGTTATGTTAAAATTAGAGTTCAAGAAGCAGATCAAAGGATGGCACATTCTCTTTTAACAGTTATTTCTTTCTCAGGAGCTGCCATCGAGCCCTCCTTTTCTTTGAGTTGTTTTTCCATTTCTTTGACTTTCTCTTTGTGCTCTCTTTCTTTGTACCTCAAGAGCTCGCCCAACCGTCTATACTCTTTGCTGTGTTCTTGCTGCAGTGCCTCCTTTTGCTCCTCTATCAGACCTGCAAAGTTCTTGATGTATTTCTGCCCAAATTCATTGAATTCTTCGGCTTTCTTTCTTGCCTCCTCTTCATATGTCTTCTTCATATCATCCATCATTTTCTTGTGTTTTTCCTCTAACTCTTTTCTTCCTCTTTTCTCCTGTTCTTGTAAGTTTTCTTCTTCATTTTTCATCTCAATGTCAAATTTTGCACTCTCCTGCTCATGTTCCAACTGGAGATTTTTGAGCCTTGCTTCATGCTGCTTTTGTCTAAATTCCTCTTCTCTTCTGCGTTCTTCCCAATATTCTTTTTGTTTGTTGTCCCATGCTTCTTGTTCCTTTCTCATCTCTTTTTTGGTAAGCTCTAGCTCTTCTCTTTTTTCTTCATCTGATGCAGAATCATGTTGTATTTTTTCCTGCAAAACATTCAACTTGTTTTGCCACTCCTGTTGTTCAACTTTTTCTTGTATTTTCTTACTTTTGTCTTCTTCTTCCATCTTTTCCTTTTCTTGCGTCCTCACCTGAAGCTCAATGTTCATTATCTCCTCCATCTTTTGAAGTTTTGTTGCTTTCAATTCGCCCTTGTTTTTAGTTTCTGCTCTCTGTTGTTGATTTCTTTCTTCCATCGCTCTAATTTCTTCTTCATGTTGTTTTTGAAGTTCCCCCCACTTTTTCTGCATCTCTTGCTCCTTTTCTTTCAGGATCTTCTGCACCTCTTTTTTGATTGCTCTCTCAGCCTCTTGCAGTATCTCATTGGTGTAACAACCACCTCCATTTTTTCCCACCATGGTCTCAATCTTTGCCATCAGTTCACTGACTTGTTTGCGGTTTGGTTTATCATAGTTGTTAAACACATGGTATCTTCCACCACATTCAGCGAAGAGATTCTTAAAGGAATCATCGCATTTCTCAATGTAATCTTCAATGGACTTCTCCTCATGCTCAAGTGTATCACCTCTTGTGAAAAGAATGATGGTGAACTTTTCAGCATTCACCCCAAAGCCTTCCTTGATGATTTTTAATGCCTCCCTCTCCTCTTCTGTCAGTCTGCCAATTTGTAACACCAACAGGAAGACATGTGGTCCTGGAGCCAGCAGAGTAAAGCATTTCATGATCTCTTTATGAACCTCTTCGTTGGACATAGTTGTGTCAAACAGGCCTGGGGTGTCGACCACAACCACCGGACGACCGTCCACTTCACCTCGTGCTTTCTGACATTCAGTCGTGACTGATATTAGACTTGCCTCAGCTTTGAACTCTTTTCGTCCCAGAATGGTGTTTCCTGAAAAGCTCTTACCACTTCCAGTCTTCCCTAGCAGCACAATCCTGAAACACTCCGGGCTCAGACTTTCATCATCAACTGTGAAATAAGAAAGCCCAAGGTTAAATTGAATGGTTACAGTTGCGACAATATGGTATTTAACATTAATTAAATCAATACAGAAATGTACTACAGTGTTTACCGACTGCATTTATGTTTACATTTCACAAATACATTGGCAAAGGTTGTCACCAAAACATTGCCCGTGTATTTGAACACTTGATACAATGTGAAGGAATTTGCCTGCCATGTTAAATTACCCAATATTGGGTGGCTTGCACTTTGATTTTTTTGTAGCCGTGATATTAAAACAGGTATCAGTATCGTTTGATTTTAACTGGTACCGATCAGTGTTTAATCTGAAGCCTGACCATAGGCAACTGGACTCTTAAAACCAAGTCCAGTTGTCGTTGGATCAAGCTTTGAATTTACCTTGACCTGGATGACTCAGAACCTACACAGAGAAAAGTATTTAGTATTCTGGTATTGTGACAACCTTACTTACATCTGATTGTGGTCTTTGTTTCCAGGTCCTCAGGTTCATCGCATAGTTTCGTGATGCTTTTGTCTCCTTGCAGGATTTCCTCCCTTTTGGCAAATGTTTCCGTTGTATAGCAGTGTGGTCTTCCCTTTAATAGCCTCAACCTGTCCACAGCATCCAGCAGCTCTGGGATCTGCTGCTCGTCCTTGATGTTGAGAACAAAAGAGCTTCCTTCACAGCTCTGAAGAAGCTCCTGGATGGCCTTGTGTTCTTTTAGAAAGTTAACAACAGCTGGAGCTGAAGGATCTGACTCTGAAGTGAACACAACCACAGTGAATTCATTGCCTTTTGAGCCAAATGTGTTCTGGAGGATTTTGAACTCTTCTTTGTCTTCATCATTGAGTGGACCCACAGGTAGGACCAGGATGAAGGCATGGACACCCTCAGGACCACAGAGGGAGATGCACCTGAGTGATTCCTTCATCACTTCCTCCTGAGGTTTTCCATACAGGGCAGGAAGCTCCACCAGGGAAACCCATCGTCCACAAACTTCTCCCTGATGTTTAACACACTCTGATGAGCTGGAGGCTGAATACGAACCTCTCTGACCTAGAATGGCCTTGGCTGTTGATATCTTTTCTTCTTCTCTCCCGCCACACAGAACCAGGTTTAAAGCTGGTGTCTTGTGTTCAGACACAGCTCTTATGGACTCCTCAGTCAGTGTCAGGAAGGCTTGTTTACTGCGGTGGACAATGGTTGTAACCCTCTTCATTAACAATCGTTGGTTTTTTTCCAACATGCTGTATTGTCTTCCTCCACATTTCTCAAGCAGTTGATTAAAAGTTGAAGTTTTGATCCCTTCATCAGTTGTGATGACCATTGAATGCTCAAAAGCTTCTTCACCAAACAAATGCAGAATTTTCATAAATGTTTGTAACTTTTTCTCTGTGAATGTCAGAGCTTTCACTGTCAAGAGCAGGACATTGGGTCCAGGATCACAAAGAGCCACACAGTCCTTCATTTCATCTGTTAGTGTTTCCATGGATAAGCCAAACATGTTTGGGGTCTTAACTACTGCTACAGATTGTCCTTTCCAGTCCCCATAGATGACGTCGGATTGACTGACTGGAGAATGCTTCTGGAAATGACCTCCTTGGTTACTGGTGATGAAGTCCCCAAGCTTTGTCTTTATGCTCCTATGTTTCCCCAACAGGAGAATCCTGATTTCAGATACTGGACAAAAAGAGAGGGAAGGAAAGGTCCAAAAATCATCAGACATGAACAGAACCATAATCGGTTCTAAGCTGTACTCATCTCTAAGTTTATTTTTCTCACAAAGATTTTACATTATCAGCTAATAGATATAATAGATAAATAAGACTGAAACAAGATGGTTACTTACTGTCAGGTCGCACGATCTCATTGCTGCTGCTGCGATCCCTTGGTTGCAACTCATCTGACACTAGAAACCAGAAATGTAAAGTTTTAATATTAATGAATCACATGTACGTAATAATTATTCTGCTTAATCATAGTAACAGCTAGAGTTTAACATGGTAAAAAAAAAAAAGTGTTCCATGTGTGCAAGTGCAACGGATCGTGAAAATTCAGATTCAGATTCAGTCGACTTTTTTAATCCCAGAAGGCCGCTTCAGTTTCACAGCCTGCCGAGTCATTGAAAGAAGCCAAGACAATATAAAAAAACAAACCCAGCAGCATTCAGACAGTTTTATTCACATGCCAGTAACAACAACTCAACAGACGCACAGGTTGCCTGAATGAAAAGCCAGAGTGAGCAAATCTAGAAATTCATAAATACAATGCCAGAAATATATCTGATATATAGATACATACATGAATGGACCTTACAGGTCACCTAAGTGTATAGTAGCAGTCCATACAGTAGATTAATTACAAATGTTCAGCATTCGACCGACGTGGACAAAAATGAAACAAGATGATTACTCACTGTCAGGTGGCAGGATCTGATTGCTGCTCCTGCGCTTCATTGGTTGCAAATCATCTGACATTGGAATCATGGTAAAAAAAAAAAAAAAAAAAAAACTTTTTAATGTGTGTAAGTGCAACTGATCATGAAAATGCAATTTCACAGAATAACATGATGACAATCGTTTCTCTACACTTGGGCATCGTTGTCCCCTTACATATGACATTTCTAGAATCTCCTAAAACCAAATTCATGTTGACCATTGACGTTTAGTTTAGTTTAGTTTAGTTACAATCAACATAACACTAATAAACAGGACAACATTCAATTTAGCAACTTTCATCATAACACATAACGTTGCAACGATAACAGAAACAGACTTGACAGAACACAACACAATAACACAATAAAAGAGTTTTAGTATCTGCAAGAGCTATATGCTGGTTCTCCTTGGATGGCCAAATTAGTGCCGTCCAGAGGGCGTTTAAGAAAAGACAGATGAAAGAGTGTGTCCAGGTTGATTCATCATTCAGAAATACAGCCCATATATACAGTATGTAATTAAATTTTGATATTAAACTCAATTTAACTCACCGGATATTTCAGCCATAGTGTCACTCTGCTGGGAATAAACAACAGAGTGAATCAACAGGAGGTGCTGCGGCCTGTTAATACAACAGAACATAAAAAATAATTTAATTTATTTATCAGGGGGACAGTGTGCACATTGATTAGTTATACAAAGAAAAATTAAAAAGGTGGTTAGACCAGATTAAACGAGTCTGTAGTCGATCTGTAGTCCCACATAAAAGTGACACAAGACTCCTGTTATGGCTTCAAACAGAAACGTCCAGTAAGCCACTGCTGAGCGGGTTTAACATGCTATCAAAAAACGAAAAGCAGCAAAATAAAACAAAAAACAAATGAGGTCGTTATCATATTAAGACTATTTTTAAGCTGCTGTTTGTGGTCTAAAAACTGTCCCGCTTCCCACTCTAACCATGTCTCCCCCAGGTGTTATCAATCAATTTAAATTACCCAGCCGATATGCAGCGGCTCTGCTCCAAAAAAGGAACAATAAGGCACAAATACCCCGAATCCATTAAAATTCATTAATGTTTGGCTCTTTTCTATTTCTTAACAATACATAATTCATATTCCCATCTGGCCCCAACAACTCAACAGACCGGCCCGGTTCTAGAACAAAATGACAAAGGCCGCGTCTGAGGTTAAGGGGGTCCAGCAGCTACAGTAAGCGGCAACCGCAATGAAAAAGACCACAGGCGTTATCGGTCCTGCATGTGTCCCCGGTGAACAGACAGGTCACCTGCACCTGTTATCATGACCATCAGATCATAGATGTATTAAACACGATGTGAGTCGCTGTTGTCATTTGAAAGCCTTTTTTTGTTGTTGTCCATTCAATTGAGGGTGCAGATATTTAAAATGAGGGTGCTGTAGGAGCCATGTTTATGAAGTGCAAACACAAATTGTTCCAGCAGGGGTCACCTTTCGGTTAAGGTGAAACTCTATATAGGTAGAAACTATCACTGGGGTGTCAGGTGTTGCTAGACAGGGAGCAATTACACTTTTTTGACCGCTGTACGCTGAGGTAACAGGAGTGATTGTAAATGGACATGTCTGGATTATTGTTTGAACAGTTCACATGTGACAGTAATCAAGACAATGATGGAATGAGAAATTAATATTCCTAAACGAAGAAGATATTGGACTGTCTTATTTTGAATTATTACGCTCAGGAGCGAAGCGGCAAGAGCGTCAATTAAAAGGCTAGATTAGCCCGTCTATGGAGCCCCTCAGTGGCTTTAAATTTTAGGCTTAGCCGCTATAGGTGCAGTGTATGCTTTTGTACCCTTGTAGAACCGGGCCTGTCAACAGAGGACAATAAAGAAAAACACCTGACAACCCAAAGTGCTTAAACTAGATAATAAAATGCGATGAACACTGTGGAACAGTAAGTATATCGTACTAGGTACAAAGTATTAAAACGTAATCATATCAAGTATACAATAAATATGTTTTTAAAATGATCGAGGCTTTACACAATAAATACCAGGAGGAGAATACACACTGCATGTTATATTGGACAATATAATAAACCATACATTATAGAGATGCTAATGCAGGTTTCTTACTCAATAAAAACATTAAGTACACACTGCACAGTATATAGGCTGCAATATGAGAGACACAGTTAGTGGTAAATTACATAAACATAATGTCTTATTTATTAATACAATATCATACAAATCTTCAAATGTTTCTCTAACTCTAATGTGTGTCTCTAGTCCGTCTACAAACCCCCCAATAATGAGAAAAGTCCATCCTCTCCATCTTTTACCTGCTCCACTTTTCAGAAAATGTGTACTCAAACAGGTCGTTTGGAGATTTTCCCTTCATGACATCACAAAGGGCAGTAACCCCTCCCCAAGGTGGGTGACACTCCCACAGCTAGTTGTTTGTTCTGCCCTCTGAGTTTGCCTTCTCACCGTAAACAATAGGACATGGAGCGAGAAAGCCCAAGACACCCAAGCCCTTCCAGAGAGGGGGTGCGGTCAGACAGCCCATTTACATATTTAAAGGTACAGACACAGAAACAGCCTGTTCTGAGCAGGGCTGAAATAGAGGGGTTTATAGGCATGATCAAATACAGGATCAGAGTGGATTTAGAACAAGAAACTTCACACACATGTTTTGAGGAGCTCTGAGACTTATTTAAACTGGTTGATGAGGAGGAGAATATGTCACTTTTAAGACTTTAAATTTGTCAAATAAAAATAGTATATTGACATCTTTTCCCCCCCGACAAAAATATTTGTTGCATTTCTTTTAAAATGCCAAAAGTTCTTAATCACAACAAGGAAAAACGTTTTTTGTTAGGGCGATGATTTACCTATAATATATATTGAGGCATGAACTTTTCCATCTCTGTCTACCAAACACTGAGCCTCTCAATATAGAAACAAACTGACTCTTCTATACGAGCTATAAATGATCAGCAGTTTAAAATATTGGTTTGTACTTCTGAGGTTAAAGTACCGCTCAGAATTCACAGCAGGTGTCCTCGTCAGAGTATCGGTCTTAACAAAGGTAGAACATTAAAGACTGTTTTCTTTTATTGCATTATATTGTTCAGCTCTTTTGAATAAACTCTTTATAGCTAATTTCTTGAATAACATGCACTTGGTACAAAGCTGTATATCTTTAAAACTATATCTTTTACTTACTTTACTTATCTCACTTAATCTCTAATTTACGTTCCTTATCTGATTCATATTCTATGTTTATGTTCTATGTTGTGTGTAAGAGCAACTCTAACAGAAAATTTCCCCCTGGAGATTTAAAAAGTATTTTTGATTTATTTCAATTTGTTTGAATTTATCGTGATTCTACTCACCAGGAAAGTGCTGCGCCATTTTACCTCCAAGAAAGAAGCTCAAAGTTCACTGAGATGCTGAGTCAGCTGAGGATGAAGAGAGGAGGGTGAAGGTGTGTCCGCTTATAAACAAGAAATCTGATTGCGCAAACTTTGATCCCAAGTGGCTGAGACGCGCCCTCCCTGCTCAGTTAGTCTGCTCAGAACGCAGCTCTCTCCTATGTTTTGAATTTTAGACTGCACTACCAATTTTGAAACACTAGATGTCAGAGTTACACGCTCTTTTAAGCTCCTTTAAGATCTTAACACCCTCAAGAATGAATCAATTACACACTGACTTATCAAAGAGATCTGTGTTACAATAGAGAGGGTTAAAGTAAAAAATGTAAGAAAACATTTCCTCAGTGATAAAGTACTTTTACTTTCTTACTTCACGGCTCAGGTCGCAGCTGACCAAGTCCAAGTCACAAGAATGAAGTCTGAACTCTCAAGTCCTAACTTGACACACATCATTAAAGCGAATTCATCACACTTAAAAACACTCTCATTAAAAGTTAAACACTGTGTCAGTTATGTAAGTCATAATGTTGCTGCTTCCTGTTGCAGTGCACTCTGGTATTTATGAGCCTCGGGGGCCACCTGGACTTCTTCATTAAGCTGCTGTTGCATGCTGGGACATTTTTGGAGTTTCTGGGCAGTAATTATCTGTGAGCATTTCTCTTTGGTTTTGACTTCTTCAAAACAATAAGACCTTTTTTTAAATTTATTTTATTAAGCCAGGTAACGACCCATTGAGATCACGAGGGCAGCAGCACACATCATAAAAATCATCACATGAATAAGTAATAATAGTAATAATAAATTAGTCTTATATAGCATTTTCTAGATACTCAAAGACGCTTTAACAAGGAAAAAACAACAAAAACGACAGTACAGCGAAGAAGTAATGTAAGGGGGGGATGGGAGTTAGAGGTTGTTGGCAGTGTTGAAGAGGTGAGTTTTTAGGGATTTCTTGAAGGAAGTGAGAGTGGGGGAGTCTCAAATGTTTTTTTGGAAGTGAGTTCCAGAGTGTGGGAGCGGCAATGGAGAAGACCCTGTCCCCCCCAGGACCGATGGTTTGGGAGGTTTGCATCGGCAGACCTGAAAGTGCTGGTGGAGAAGCTCAGACAGGTAGAGGGGGAGCCAGGTTGTGAAGCGCTTTATAGGGTGATGATGAGGAGTTTGAAGTGGATACTCTGGGGGATGGGGAGCAAGTGGAGGTTATGAAGGACGGGGGTGATGTGGTCTCTGGTGCAGGAGAGTGTGAGGAGACGAGCAGCGGAGTTCTGAATGTATTGAAGTTTCTTGAGTGTATTTAATGGTGATCCGCAGAGGAGACTGTTGCAGTAGTCTAGTCTGGAGGTGATGACTGCATGGGTGAGGGTCACAGCAGCTGAAAATGAGAAGCATGGGCGGAGATGGAAAAAGGCTGTTTTGGTGATGTGTTTGATGTGTTTAAGTAACAGTAAACAAACAGTTTTAGAGAAAATGACAATGAATAGTGCGAGCATTTGTTCACAGAGAAAGTGCAGAAGCTGTGAGCGCACATAACAATTCAAAAACACAAGCTCTGATATTAACTACGCTGACCTGAAAAGCAGATCGTGAAAGTGAAAACATTTCAGTGATGCCATCAAATTGTTTTATCGCCAACGGTTGTCTTCATCATTTCAGTCATTCATGTAGCCTGCGAAACTACAAATCTCATCCACACTTATGTGAGGTTGTCCATCAGGGGGGATAAAGGGGAAAGCTTTCCGGGGTCCAGTCTCACGGGGAGGGTCCATGGAGGTTAATGAAAACCTGGTCCATCCTAATTTAAAGCAACAAAGCCCACATTTTATTTTACACCTAAATACTCACCATGACCTCTTAAAGCAACAAAAACAAATATTTGTATTTATTGTTCCTTCAGTAAGATGTAGTCTGTTTCATGATGTCAACCCTCTATTCTTTAAATGATGTGTCATCTGTCATCCTCCAACATCCTGCACAGCTGCAAACATCTCATCCACAACTATCAGTATTTTTCTACCAAATTTATAAGAAGATTTATTTTTTAATCCGCCTACAAAGCTTTCCACCTATTCATTCAGGTACCAGGAGGGGCTTTTTGAATTTTCTGTTTGAACTTTTGAAAATTTGTATTTGTTTCTTTGCAGTAATCAGGATGAAGATTAATGTGAGAGCAGCAGAGCAGATTTTGTTGTACTCTGAAGTTCAATGCTTCAGTCCCAAAGATTAAAGCTCCCAGTTTAAATCTTTTTGTAAATGAGCTTTAGGTTCTTCAAAACAAGCTCATTTTGTAAATATGTGCCCGTTGGCAAACATTTTCACCCCTACAAAACCAGATCCAGATGTTTTTCCTTCAGCCTTTGAGCTTCTTAATGAGGAATATGGAGGAGAATGAGGAGCAGCTGGGATTTAAAGTGTTAAAGGTCCTGAAACCTGTGGATTTATAGATCCCCCTCTGCAACCTGCAGGGTTTTACACGTCCATCACATCTGTGTCAGGAGGCCCTGCATGCCTGCAGCGGCGGGACAGGCGTCTGCATGTCTGCTGTCAGCACGGACGCATAAATACCTGCGTGTCCAGAGGCTGCGTTCACTGTCAGCCTGTCTGCAGGTGGAGGATAGAAGAGGAAGCTGAGAGACGCCAACATGGTTCCACTGAGGCTGCTCGCCTTCGGATGTGAGTGCACCGCTTTACTCTGATTCTTTCATCTTTTACATTCTGGAATAATATATCTCTAGACGGTCTGGAAATGTTTCACTTAAATAAAATGTGGTTATTCACTTTGTTATTGAATACATTTGGTTTAGGATAAAATAGTCGTGTCAGAATGTAGACTAATTCCCTGTTTTCCAAAGGTGGTCTCACAGCTGAGATAAAAAGGTATAGTTCAAACTATCAAACAAATGGAGACACATTTCATGAAGGAGTTTAACTGCTTTACTTTGTGTAGTGGATGATGATGGAGCGTGCATTTGTTAGTCAAATATTCCCATCATCTTACACAAATCAAATGGATGTTAGACTATTTTTAGTTTGTCAGGTTGAAACCGTAACTCTGCTGGTAGCTTTTAAGCTCTAAACAGAGTTCAGGGACCCATTTTTTCTTTGAGTAAAGTTTGTGAATTCAGTTCAGAAAATATAGCATAGAATTGTTTCACTTCTCCAGCTTTCATATTTCACCACCAAATCTCCATAGTGCACCTTTAATAAAAGTATTAACACAGTTTGATGGTCCACAGCAGGTTTGCCTACAGGGACAATAAAAGTGTGTGGTATCATATTTGTATTTTCTGCGCTCTGAGCGCTGAGTCTCATTTTGACTGTGATGATGCCGCTTTGAGCTTTTATATTTCTTATCACTTCTTATTACTTCTGTTGAGACAGCTGAATGTGTGCAGCAAAAAGTCCAAAAAGATTTTCCCACCGACGAAAACAATGGTGCATCGTATACATAGTATCGTATTCCATCGTATCGCATCACATCGCACATAAAATCATCTCGTTTGTATCGTAGCGTATCTTTAGACTGAACTCTGGCATTCGTATGGGATGTTAAAGTGAATTTGTTGGAGCTAATGGTTTCCTAGACTGAAGTTTTCATTAAGCATGCCAACAAAATTCAAAACGTAAACATTTTTCTCTTTTGTTATTAAAAGATTTTCTGTCGTTTTATTGTTATTGCTCCGGTTATAATATATCCGAAGTCCTCTTTTTATTTTGATGAAATCAGATGTATGTAATTTTTACTTTTTTAGGCAGCAAAAGGTCACAAACAGAAATGTTTCATAATCCTTAAAGTTAGAACAGGTTGTTTATATGTCACTACAGCTGCTCGTGTTAAACTGGTCAAAGTTTGATGGACTTTTGTGTTTTCAGTGCTCGCTGCATCCTGGTACTTCACTCGAAGCTGCTGGTGAGTTTCAGAACAATCACAACCGATTCAGTTTCAGCCACAAGAACTAAATTTAACAGATATGATCAAGTTTATAACATTTATACGTTTATTTATTTATGTCTTATTAATCTGTCATTCCTCCTCTAAAGATAGAAAACAGCTGTTGCTTAATCAAGTTTTGGAAAAATAAAAAATAAACGATTTTACTGGAGATTTTTGACTAAAATACATTTTAGGAGAAAAAACACAACAAAGTTAAAAATCATAATGATAATAATAAAATGTTTGTATAATAAACCTTAGTGGTTATCTAGTGGTTAGTTTCCCATTCGTTTCCCACTAACTATGCACAATGTGTTACCTTATTGTGAAGTGTTACCAAACCTTAAAAAACAAAGGTGCTGTAGGGACTTGGGTTGGGAAGTGAAGGGTCGCCGGTCACCAAAATATGGAAGTTGTTCTGGTAGCTGGTGCCAGGTCACTTCCCGAGCACTGCCGAGGTGCCCTTAAGCAAGGCTATGAACCCCCACCAGCTCTGGTACGCTCAATGGGGATTCTAGAGTCTGTTGGGGCCCTAGGCAAAAATCTATATGGGCAAAGAGAGAGTGGGCTCTGTCCCCTAATGGTCTGGGGCCCCAAGCTGTTGCCTGTCTTGCCTGTTGACAAGCAGCGCCTCTGGGTACGCTCCCTGAGCAGCCGCCCCACTCTGACATCTCTCCACTAAACATGTCCACACGTCCTGTTTGTTTGTGTGTGATTCAGACCAATGTGTGTGAGAAGCATGTCTTTAAATAACAGAGCGTAAACCAGAATGTCCCTCAGGGGTTAATAAAGTATTTCAAAATAACAAATAAATACATTTAAAAAAACACAAAATAAAATAATCTATGAGAGCGTTAAAATCTCGACAGAAAACAATAACAACTCTAACTTTCATGATGATGATGTCACTGCCAGGAGGCGCAGCTCGTCAACAGCCAACTGCTTGGGGCCCCAGGGCGTCCAGGGCTGACAAACCTTAGAACACAGCAGAGGCTCAAAATGTGCAAAGTTTGCAACGACAGTAGGAAACCCCCCCTAAGGGAGCCCCAACTGACAGCACTCAATCGTAGAATCATGATGTTTGTTCTGTGATGTTTTTAGCATTCTTAATTTACATATTTTGAAAAAATTCTGATTTGAACTTTTTTGTTGTTGGTGTCAGATTATAAATACCTGTAATCACCACTGTCACTGCCTACAATCTGACCCATGTGTGTGTGTGTGTGTGTGTGTGTGTGTGTGTGTGTGTGTGTGTGTGTGTGTGTGTGTGTGTGTGCTTTCAGAGGGAGAGGTCATCTATGCGTGTCATAATGAGACCGCTGAGATGTCGTGTGGTAAGAAACTAACAGTTTTATCGCTTTATTGTTTGATTGTCTTATTCCTGCTTTATTCTGGTTGTTAAGAGTTTGTTTTCTGTCTCCTGTGTGTTTGTTTCTGATTTTATTTTATTTTAAAAGGCTGATTCATGGTCAGGCATCGCTAATAAGCTAAAAAGTCCTTCATTGTAGACGAGTGTTTGTGAAAGCCGGTTTAAAATTAAAGCTTCTGCGTTGGTACACCAATCACAGTTCAGGGATCAGAGTCAAACGTCTTCAGAGTTTATTTATTTTCCAAATTATTTCCAACTCATAGTGATGTATAACATTTCAGGTGCTTTAAAGTCCAACAATGCACCTAACGCAGTCAACACTGCAGCCTGTCGTGCAGCTCGGCCCGCTGCAGGAAACCAGAGAGAGAGAGCATGGCCTGCTGCAGACCGCTTCATTACTCAGGCCTGATAGGTTGAAGGCAGGAAGTAGGCTGAAAGAGGAAGTGGGACCTACAGCAAAGATGGTGTCTCGTGTGGTGTCAGTTTACTTGCTTCATGCTTGTGTCCCTATAGATATGAGCAATGCATCCAGGTACTGTGCCCAAACGATGCCGGCCCCGCCCCTTCCTGCATGAAAACATTCAGTGTCAAACTAATGGTGATGCTGCTGACAGAAACCTATAAATGATCAACCAAAAATGTTATGAGTGATCATTTTCTTTACATCAGAGACTTTACAGTCTTATTAAAAAACCCTGAAAAAGAAGTTAAAGCAGTTCTATTACTGCACAGTGTCTGATGATATGTGTAAACCTTTATTTCGTCCTCTCCTCCAGATGTTGGCAGTAAGATAAAGCTGGAACACATCCTGTACAAGGTCGGGGTCGGGACGAGGTGCGGGGAGGGAAAACCCTTCCCAGACGACGGACCGGAGAACTTCTGTTCCTTCCCCTGGGCAGAGATGGTGGTGGAGGACCTGTAAGAAAACAATATCTTATCTTCTTGGTTTAAGGACAACATTGAATGGAGATTGGTAGTTTGTTCCACCACCAGGGGCGACAAACAGTTTTACTTTTTAATGAACTACCTCTTCTTATTTACAGTCTTTGTTCACACCTCGTTCTCTGTGTTTCTGTCTCAGCTGTGGGAACAGGAGGTCCTGTAAGGTCCCCGTCACTGAGTGGGTGTTTGGTGAATATCCCTGCAAAGAGGAGACCAGGTACCTGGAGGTATCCTACACCTGTGCAACACCACCTCCTCCCCCTCCTCCACCACCACCTCCAACCAAACCTGACTGTACGTACACGCATGCTTTTGCCTTCTTCTGATAGGATAGCTGTAGAGAGACGTGAAATGTGGGGCGGAAGAGTGAGGGATGACGTGCACCGAACAACGACAGGATCGGGACTCGAACATGCAACCAATGCAACGAGAACCCAGGACTGTAGCCTCTGAACACGGGGCACCTGCTCTAACAACTGATCCAAACCAGCGCTGCATTAGTACTTTATACTTACAATATCCTAAATGTAGCTTCACTTTAATCCTTTAACCAGCCATCAAAAAGCTCTTAAAAAAGTGGGGATTCATATTCAACGGAGCAATATGTAACTCTGACCCCTAGTGTTTAAAATGGGTACTGCAGTCCAAATTCAACACATAGTAGAGAGCTGTCCCCTCCTCTCTAGAGTCAATGCTCACACAGGTTGCCATGTGGTGGACTCTGAAGCTTCAGTGTTTATCCAGCTCTGCATCGGTCTGTAAACCTTTCTGTGTTCTAATCTCTCTCCATTTTTCAAAAGCATCTCCAATATTGATCCTAGTTTGAGCACGTTTCTGCTCGTGAAGCTTATTAGAAACATGCAGAGGCTTTTTAGGTCGGGTACAATCACTTCTATCTGAACCACTTCTCTTGCCCGCTTCCATCGCTGCAACACCTGTTGACCTGATAACTGCTCTCATATCTGGCAAACCGAGGGGCGTCCAAAACGGCCGCGTGGGGGGTCGCCTTAAAAGCGTCTACCTTCTCTGGTCCAAACAAATCCAGAGCATTCAGGACCAGAATCTAAAGTTAGAAGGAGGACATACTGACTGCTGCATTGTTGTCAGAGAAGCCAGCACTTCAACATAGCATGTTTCCTTAATGTCTGATCAGATAGTAAGATCACTTTATCATTTCACTCACTACACATCTTACTGACTGGACATTTAAATCATTTCAAATACTTGTCTTTTATATCATCAACTTCCTTTATTTAATTGTCCTCTGTTTTATTAAAGCATTTTGAATTCCCTTGTTGTTAAAGGTTGTTTGACCAGTAATCTGTCCTTTCCTCCCTCTTTCCAAACTTTAATCTTTAGACTCAGCGCCCTCTGGTGGCAGAGTATTTCATAGTTTCATACACGGCACAGGTTTTTGTATTTTTTTTGTCTCTGATCTGTGTTTATTTCTCCTCTCTCTGCAGGTGAAGAAAAACCAGCCACTGACGCCTGATGATCTTAAATTTGTATTGTTCTTCTCTTTGGAACAGAATATCATGAAGACTCATCGTCGCCTCAACATTTCAGATCAAAGTTTAACTCTCAGTAAAAACCAAGATATCATACTGTCTAACAACCAGAAACAAACTTGTTCTTTAGATCTTAAAGTTTGAGTTTCTGGAGGAGCAGAAGTGTTGTATTCATGTTTCTGAATGCGTAAAGTATACTTGAGCTTATTTACTCAAAGAAGGATTTGAAGTCAATTCAATAAAAGTTATCTTCAAACTTTATGTGAGTTCAGTAGATTTCCCTTTGTTTCATTTATCTGCATCTACAGTCACTCTTTTTTTGTTTTAATTGTTGCCATAGCGTAACAAACTAGTGACAAACATGACAAACAAGAAGAAACAGAAAAGGTGAAAGAAAACAAAGGCAGCATGGTGACACAGATCATCGATTACAGATAACAAAGTCTGTTGAGACTTTTTGTTGTGGGAAGTTTTTTTAAAGCATGATGACGAGAGTTCGGGGGAAACAAAAATAACTTCAAATAAAAGTGGATCCCAATTTACAGCCTCGTCCCTTTTACTCGCCTGGTGTTGCTGCATGTTGTCACAAATGAAGGCAGCTCTCACTTCGGTGCTCCGAGGCTTTTAGTGCTGATTAGTTTGAAAATAAAAAGTAAAAGCAGAAAAACACAAAAACATAAAGATGGACTTCAACATCTGTCCAACAAAGACAAAATAATGGTAGTATGCGTTCCAGCTGTGCAGCAGGTTGGCGTGCTGTCTTACAAAGCTGTCATTAGGTGAGAGGCGGGGTTACACCCTGGACTGGTCGCCAGCCACTCACATTGACGCCTATGGACAATTTAGAGACACCAGTTAACCTAACGAACATGTCTTTGGACTGTGAGAAGAAGCCAGAGTACCCACACATGTCGATGGGGATTTGAACCAGAAACCTTCTCACTGTGTGGTGACAGTGTTCACCACTGAACCACCGTGCAGCTCCAAATAAGTGATTTTGTAATTTAATTAGTTAATTTATTGATATCCTATTTTTGTACTCAGCTACATATTCTTTCTGGTGTAAATGAACAATGTTATAGTCTTTCCCATCTTTCCAGTTTTGTTTGAAAGTAATAAATGGCCCGTCTCGTTTTGATGCCTGTCCCGAATAAAGACAGGGTCACTTCATAGACTGAAGAAAATAAGGGCCTGGGCTTTCAGACTGTGTCCATTTCAATGGTTTCACATTTTAAAACAGTTGTAGTTTCCTTCCCTCAGTACTTCAGACACTAGATCTTTAGAAGGAACCGCTTTCAGATCAAAGAAATCCATTGATTGTGATCTTCAGAGGTTAGAGAGAAACTTTCATTAACATGTTTTAGAAATAACATTTCATTTAAATCATTAAAAATGAACTTTTACACATTCAACAGTTTCTCCACTGGATGGCGCTGTTTGTCTGTCAAACACGGTTCAATAAAATTGTTCTCATTTGTTCACTGTGAAAAAGATTTCTTCAGGTCAACCTTGAATAAGTACGGAGCCCCTGAAGTCCCAAAATGTGCGAAAAAAATCACATGCACAATTTAATTAACGCATAAAATATTGTGTTCTACTTTTTGGGACTTCAGGGGCTCCGTGAATTAGTTTTATTGGGTCATTTTCACTTACATAATGGCACTGAATACAGATGGGTGACGTCATCCATTAATATTTACAGTCTGTGATTGAATCCTGAAAAATCACAAAGAAAAACAAATCTTTAATCAAATATTGGATTGGAGAAAGCAACTCAAGTCTTGATCACAAAAACCTTCATTTTACGTGTAAAACTGTTTTAATATTCACATTTTAGAATAATAATTTACTATTTACTACAATCAGGACTTTATCAGGATGAAGTAATATATAAATATGTAGTCTATAGAAAGTATTTAGAGGCTCCCGTGTGTTGTTACAGTGAGTCAGCTGCATAGAGATCAGTTTTGTTTCCATGTCGTTTAGTGAAGAAACGAAAGTGAAAGCAGTTTGAAATGTGACGCCTCGCTGCCTGTTTGCTGTCAGTCTGTCGGTGAGCTCGTACCGGACAGGATCATGGAGGAGACCGAGGAGTGTGTGCCGGTGATCGTGGAGGGGGTCTGGAGTGCGGCTCAGACTAAAACAGTGAAGAACAAACTTCAGCTTTACTTCCAGAGTAAGAAGAAGTCCGGCGGAGGAGAGTGCCGGGTGGAGGCGGAGGAAGGAGCCCTGCGAGCGGCTGTTTACTTCAGAGTAGAGGAGGGTGAGTCTCCCTGAATGACGGTGAAAACCAACAAACACCAAGTTACTGCTCTGATATCTGTCGGTTAATCACATTTTATTGCAGTTTTAAAAAGTTCAACAAAGTGACTCCGAGTTTAAACACTTCACGATGGACGTAACAGAAATAACAAACAGGCCCGATTTAAACTGCGACACTAAATCTTTTAGAAAGTGAAATATACAAAATAATTTAAAAATCTTAAACCTTTTTTTACTTATTTATACTGCAACCTTTTGAATTTGAACTGTGATGGAAACACTGATAGAAACTCTTAAATCTTAGCACCTGGATTGGCAGTAAAAGTTGGTTAACAAACACCCGGACCTTGTCTGCTGACTTCCCAGCATGCACTTCAACTCTTACGCTCCTTTTCCTCATAGTTCAAACTATTAGTCATAAGCAATAAATAGACTGCTGAGTCTATAAGAAGTGGACGTAGAGCCTCTAGTTTCAAAAGTGAAGCCATAAACTTTATGTTCTCATCATTAAGTTAGATGACTTAAGAAATAATTGATGTAAGAGAAAATTAGTCACTTCTTAGATTATTTATTTGCTCAGTTAACATTTTTTTAATTAATGTATTTTATTTCATATTTATTCAAAATGCATTTAAACAGGAAAACAAGTTACAGACGTAAAACACAGAGCGATAACAAACACAGGTCAACATCTCCTGAGTCACAGAGCAGAAAAGTCAAAGGTCAAAGCATCTACAACCTGACGCATCTTCCTCCCGACACCTTCAATCTACTTTTATAAAGACTTAAAGAGACAGGCTCCCTCAGACACAGATCGTCCTGCAGGAGTTTCAAGACGCGCATTGTAGACAGAGAAGAAGAATGTGTTTTATATGTTAGCTGGGAGGTGCGAAGCAAAATTACAAAGTTTGAGACAAATAAAAATTTTGAAAAACGTTTTTACATTTTATAAAACAAATTAACAAGGGGTAGAACACTTTACCAGTCTCAAAACAAATTTACAAACTACAGATTCTTTCTGTAAAATTTCTTCCGATCTCCCGGTAGGTCTGTAAACTAGAGCTCAGGACTGTGGGTCCAGTTTGTTGTGATCTGATCTTCCCTCCTATTGGATGCGGGGAGTTGACGTCACAGAGCGCAGATACGCTCTTGAGCGCTGTGCTAACTAGCAGCTAACTCAGAACAAATGTTCCACTGTCACCTGAAGCTCGGCAGATATTTAACGTTTCTTTTGTTCATATCTTTTGCGATAGGAAGAGGAGGACACGTCAAACTCTTCTAAGTCTTCTGGTTTGAGAGAACTTTGCAGAATTGTTAATGACTGAAGTGTTTTGTGTGATTCCAGTGAGAGAGAGAGTCCTCGCTCGTAAAAACCATGAAATCACTGTGGACAATCAAGCTGTGACGTTACACCTGAGCTCTGCACCGGTGAGTACAACTAAAGGGCAAAATAAAAAGACTGTTTTAAAAGTGGAAATGCTGAATGACAATTCTAAAGAAGGAGGGGTTATGTGTTTTCATTGATTTCTCTTATTTATGACTGAACTGTTTTGTTCTGTTTGGTTGTTTTCTAACTAGAGGGTAACAGTCTGACCTCACAGCATGCCACGGGACAAAGTCTGCTTGATTCTAATGTTTACTATCGTAGTGTCTTACACTGTAGCTGACCGCGAGTTAAACATTTTATACCGCACGCCCTCCTCTCTCGTTCCTCTCTGTTGCTCCTGTAGGCGGAAGAGGAACGAGCACGGCACTGACACTCGCTTTTCTCACTCAACAGAGCCCGTTAGCTTGTCTTACAAAGTGGAGATAACGGTGCATTAATCATATCCATGTCCGTGATTTAAATGTTGAGTTTTGATTTGTGTCAACACCGCTAGTCGTTTGTCGACGAGCCTCTGAGTGTTGTGATTTGAGTCAGCGGCTCGCTTCTGTTTTCCTCCTTCAGGACAAAAGCACCTGATGTCATTGTGTTTGCAAGGGGGAACTCAAATTCACAGAGAAAATAATTCAAAATGTAACGCATGCGGTGTGGACAGCGAGCGTGCGATTGTGTGCGTTGCGACCCAACATCCAAAGCTCGCGTGCTGTTAGAACACTATTTTAAAACAAACCCAATATTGTCCACCGCTGAGGTTATGGAACTATTTCTGGACGTGTCCTCTGCAGGTGCAACAAATGTTAAATGTCTGATACTCTTTTTCTACTAGTCATCATTCTGTTTATTTAAGTCCATGATCAGGATTCAAACAAACAACCTTCAACATCTCATTACGTCAATACATGATAAAACATAAACTGATACATTCAAGTGCTGGACACACAGGGAGACCACACAGGGTTAAAGTTATTTAAAACTGTAACTGATGCAACACATCTCAATAAAAGAATATGCAGTCTGTATGTTAGTGGTGATTTCAATGGTGTGTGTGTGTGTGTGTGTGTGTGTGTGTGTGTGTGTGTGTGTGTGTGTGTGTGTGTGTGTGTGTGTGTGTGTGTGTGTGTGTGTTTGTTTGTAGTGGAGGGAAATTAAGCAAATCAAACCAGAGCTAAACAGAGAGAGACAGAGAGAGAGAGAGAGAGAGAGAGAGAGAGAGAGACAAGGTAACAGGAGGAGCTCTGACACTGTCAGGGGTCGTCACAGTCGGTATTACACTCAAATACAAAGTCACAGTGTTGTAGTGGTTACGTGCAAAGATGATTAAAGATTAAACTCATCTCTCCACCCAATTACTTCTCTTTTGTCTAAAACCAAACACCTCAAAGCTTTTATTCAGTCACCTGCTGCTTCTTTTATAACAGGCGTTTCCTCCTCTGTGGTTTAAATTCCTTGATGAGTGACGCAGCAGGAAATTGGACTTTAACTCTCTGCTCTGATGTGTGTTTTGGACTCTGCAGTTTGTCAGGGTGTGTTTCAGTGCTAACCTAACAACAATCCTGAGACATTTAGTGAGGGATCATGTAGAGTGAGCGGCTCTTGTTTTCCCTTTAGTTTTTACATCTTTGATCCTCTTTTCACTGCTGTTATTCTCTCTATCCTTTCTGCTTTTCCCACAGTAAACAAACTTTAAATGAACCTTCCATGGATTTATTTGTTTACAGTTAGTCCTTCAGAGTCGGTGATAAGAGCTGCATCCATAGCAACCGTTTGCTTTCATTAGTAATGATGTATTCTTCTAATAGACGGTGATCTGTATAAGGAAAGCAGACGGTTGCTATGCAACATTGGCCAATCAGACTCAGGCTTAGACTACTTTATTTATCTCAGAGGGCGATTCGGTTCCACAGTCCGCCCAGACCATGCATACATTTACAAACAAACAGCAGAAGGCGTTTATAAGAGATAACAAACAAATCAGACAAAGATGAGCGCTGGCACACTGACACCCTCGTGTGGTCTCTTTGAGCAATGACACCCACAAGGGCCTGACGAAAAGCACGGTTTAAGGACAACTGTAATAAATAAATAAGTCAATAAATACATAACTAAGACATTCTAGGATGCACCGCCGTCACATTGAGGACTACATTCAAATAATGTACTGGTACATACAGGCCGCTGCTGCAGGAGTCACAGGAATAAACCACTATCAGGTTAAAGAAAGCCGGGACACTGAGAAGCGCCCCCTCTCTCACCAGACTATCAGAATCAAGTATTTGAAACAGCTGTGTAATATTAACCATTTACATCCTGTAGATATCATGTTGAATTGGCAGTGGTATTTATTTTAAATCCAAATTGCAGACCTACAAAAAATAATTCTACTTCCACCTTTTCTTCAGTTTGCTCCACATTGTCTCATAATGTCTAATAAGGTGTATCATCTTATTTGACATTGAATTGAAGCAAAATAAACGTAACACCAAGAAGAAAAATTAAAAGTAGTGACTTTATGTTTTTATGGTTGCAGTTTTCATTCAGGTGAAACTACTCTACATCAGGGCCCGACATATGGGAGTTTTAGGGCCGATATCGAAATGAGGAAGAGAAAGAAATCTGAAGCCAATATATTGGCCGATATCTTTCTCAGACCTATCTTTGATCTGTAGAGATTGATGGAAATAGATGAACACATTTTCCGTTGATCCCTTAAAAGCAGTTATCAAACAGTTGTGGAAAAGATATTTAATGAAGACGAGATGGTCAGAGTGATGATGTTTCTTATAGTCCTTATAGCGCCCTCTGCTGGTGAAAGCCAGACAGAGATCTGCTAGTGTAATATAATGAAACTCAAATTAAATTATGTTTGACTGGTGAATAAATGTAGTAATATCGGCGCATATCAAAGATGAAATCAGCCAATACCGATAGTGACTTGATATGATAATATCGGTCAGTATTATCGGCTGGCTGATTAATCGGTCGGGCTCTTCTCTGTTTCAGCCCACAAGTTCACATGTTTTTTTTTTTCCCTGATAAAAATCTGAAACTAAAATCTGTTGGTTTGACAGTAATTTTGATCTTTTACAGCTAGTGCTGGTGGAGCTTCTCGCTATCCTGCTTATTTTAACAGGACACAGAAAAAGCAGTATTTAGCAGTTTATAGTTTCTACATGAAACAGATTTATTTTGTAATGTTTGTTTTTCCTATCGTCATTTTCTTCTTTGTGAATGTTTTTCTTTTTCTTTCTCTTTTCAGAGTCCAGCGGATGGCGCTGATGTCTCAGGTGAATCTGCTTTATTTGTTTTATCTAAAACAGCTCAAAGATATTCATCTTAGTTGTTTAATCTTGGTAAGGTCCATTTATGTCCAAAAACGACTACGATAGTTTTTATTTAACAGACAGGAGGAAACATTTGTTTGGGACTATTTTAAGATGAGGATTATTCAAGATCCGTTGCTCTGGTGTGTTTTTGGAGTAGCATTACGTGTACGAAGGATTGAGTCATATTTGAACACTTCCAATTCACGTGCAGACTCAGACCTGGTCCACGCGTAGGCGGGTATTTTTGAAAACGTAACTTTTTCTGTGTTTTGACCTTTTTGACTTTATTTGGAGTTTATCATTCCTATCTCATATTTTAATTAACTTTCATGATTTTATTGAATGTTTTTGACATTTTGAATGAAAATCGATTGTTTTCATTGTTAGATTCAGCGACAGATTCAAAGATGCCAGAATCAGAAGTTGAGCCTGGAGATGGAGCTTCTGCAGAGAAACAAGACGGTAAAAAACATGCAACAAAGAGCACAATATGTAACTCTTACACCTAGTGTTTAAAATGGGTACTGCAGTCCAAATTCCAAACATTAGAGAGAGAGCTGTCTCCCCCCACCCCCTCCTCTGTAGAGTCGATGCTCAAGCAGGTTGCCATGTGGTGGACACTGAAGCTTCAGTGTTTATCCAGCTCTGCATGGGTCTGTAAACCTTTCTGTGTTCTAACCTCTCTCCATTTTTCAAAAGCATCTCCAATATTGATCCTAGTTTGAGCACGTTTCTGCTCGTGGAGCTTATTAGAAACATGCAGAGTTATTTGACCTGATAACTGGTCTCATATCTGGCAAACCGAGGGGCGTCCAAAACGGCCGTGTGTAGTTGTAACCTGTAATGTGAAAGTGGTCTGAGTAGTCTGAAGACTAGAAGAAAAAAATATACAAGCTCAAGTCCATTTACCATTTATGCTTGATTATGTTATTTCTTTTTCACTGGTTTGAAACAAATAATAAGAAATACATGGTATTGGTAATAGAAGGTAAAGCTGGTTATTATTCATCTCCTCTCAGAGTCCATTCAGAGCTTCTCTGTGGTTTTGGACAATGTTGGGTCCAACATGTCTAGAGATCTGCTGCTGATGCTGGTGGAGACCATCTCAGGTTTGGACGACAGTTTTTACAGTCTGGAGATCATCGTGGAGAGCGACAGAGCTGTGGTCACCTTTAAAAGCCCCGCAGGTACGAAAATAACACTGAAATAATACATATAAATACAATAAAGTTTTTTGAATTGAATTGAATTGAATATATCCACAAAACTACAGTGAAGACACCATAGCCTATAGATGTAGAAGTAATACACCCATACACAAAAATATGCATACGTGTGTTTTTATGTACTGTCCTGTTTATGTTTGTTTTGATTGTGTTTTTGTGTTTGTGCAATAAAGGTTTCATTCATTAATTCATACAAAAAAACATAAGTGTGCAGTGAGAATGTAAATACATGAACATGTTGTTTTCTAGATATTTCTGCAAGTAAAATGATAATGAGAGAAGAGTAGAAAATGATGTAACACAGCTAAGTAGTCCTCGTCATCAAAAATGCATTTGCATACATCAGAAATTTGTTGACTATCCATTTATTTATAATTCATGAATAAGTTCAAGCTGACATTCGAGGCACACATACACGGCAAAAAAACATTGGCACACGTTTTACCTCCACTTCTCTTTCTGCAAAGACTCATCTTAAAATCACAACTCTAAAAAATAGTGTTCAGTTATGAAAGGGACCCCTTCAACTTCTCAACATTATTACACACCACAACTTCATTCTTTATGGCACCACCGACACTCGTAGACACGGCATAACCTGATGGTGCCCTAAAGCCCTGTTTCCACCAAGCGATCCAGTTCAGTTGGATTCGGTACGGTACCCATTTATTGGCGTTTCTGCCGTCAAAAGTTGGGAATGGTACCAAAATAAGGGATCCGTACCGTCCTACTTATTTGGTTCCCTCCTGTTGGGGTGCCAAGGGTTCCGATCGGACCATAAAGGGTCCCTTCTTTTCTGTGTCCCTGTTCTTCTTGGTTCATTTATAGCGGGCTACACAGTGTTGGGCTGCTATGATGTCACACTAATAAATAGCTGACGTAGCTACAACGGGGAATATCTTATATTTGGGAAAGAGCTTCTTTTGAAAAGTTTAAAGATTATCAACTTGAGCGCTCAGAGCGACGGCACAAAAAAAAGAGGCGCGCTCGGAAAAAAGACACCGGGCGCTGCGCTTTTCCTCTGGGCGGCCACATGCAGCTGCTTATGCTCTCTCCTCATCGAAAACTATTGAAAACAGACACTCTAGGTGAGTGTCAGAAAAAGCTAGGTGGACACAGGGCCTGAAAGACAGAAGACAATATATCAGCAAGTGAAGATAACAAAGGCAAAGTCAAAATATTAGATTTTACAGACCCTGAAACAGTTCTGATGTAGTTTAAGGCCTCATGAACTCCTAACAAACAGGTTAATCCAGAGTATTTTGCAGATGTGGAGAAGTTTCTCACTATGAGTCAGACCAGCCAGAAGCTGCAGAAACTTAAACTGACCGCCTGGAAGTTAGAGGAAACAAAGAGCGTCCGAGTGGAGAGTCTTCCTTCTGCTGTGGTTGAAGGTAAAAGTGGTTTAATCCCAGTAAAGAGGTCTGTGGTTAGAGGACGTCCTGTTGACATGTTTTGGAATCAATGTGTTTAATAAGTTTTGTGTCTGTTTTTGTTGTTCTCAAAACGTATTTCTGATGATTTTGCAGACCTGTTGGAGCTGTTCTTTGAGAAGAACTGGGCTCTGCCAAAGAACATCACCATGGTCCCAGATGAAGAGGCTGCCATTGTCACCTTCCTTGACCCCAAAGGTTTTCCATTCAGCTTTCCTAATTACTCACTGTTATTTGGTCAAGAGTGTTCTTTAAGCCCAAAGACCAAAAACCGTTTGGCTAAAAGTAACTATCCAATACACTCGGATCTGACTGTTGAGCCTTTGATTGGTTCATGATGGACACTACTGCTAGGATCTAACAACCTCCAAGAGGCAACCTCAGAGGCTGGAATATAAAGTCGACATGGACACCCCAAAAAAATGTGGCAATTTTTTTTCTATAACAAGCGCCAACCTACAGTGTTTGTAAATTAAGCTAATGTAGAAGAGCAAAGAAACTGCAGTTCCTCAAGTGTCCACTTGAGGCTGTCTGCAAAAGCCAAGGAATCCCCATTAGGTCCCATTTTAAAAAGTCATTTTTCACATGTTGAAATCTTAAAGCATGTGGCTAGTAAAAACTTTACGGGGTTTGAATTTCTTTTATAACTCATTTATTCTGATAATATAAAGGCTAAGAGATGTGCATAATTAGGAATAATTAGGGGCGTGCCAGTGATTCATTCGGCAAAGTGCATTTATGAACACAACACACACCACCACCCAAATGTATGCAGCAGATGGATACATCGCTTGAACTCAAACATAAAGAGTGAGTGATGCAGCGTCACTTGATCAGAGCATTGACTCTTTATAAAAACGATCAAAGCAGCAAACCAGACGAGCATACTATAGGTCAGTAGTTTTTAAAGTTGGTCTCCACAGACTTTAGGAAACATACTGTATGTCTGTAAGTACGAGTGCATACGGTGTTGTTAAATAAAATAGATGATGATCCCTCAGTTAATATATTTGCGATGCCAATTCTGTTAGCCAGTAACTTCTGGCTTCAGAAAACTAACGTGGCTGCAGTCGAAATGCAAAAGTCAATTCTTCAAAAATGTTGTGAACAAAACAACAGGTGAAAAACAGGATCGCTATATCCAATATATTTACAGTCTATGATATAAACAGACCTAAGCCAAATGCAAACTTCAAAGCAAAGGCGTCAGCACATTTTTGGCAAAATTGTGTATCCTATGACCTGGATGACTAATCTTCATAGAAACCTAAGATACATTCATGAGTACTAATCAACTACTTACTCTAGCGTTCTGTTTTTATCTGCAGTTGTGAAAAACATTTGCATCAAACAAGAATACGTGATTGGATCCACTCCTGTCAAGGTGTATCCATACTACGAGTCCCTTGGCACCGCCCTTTATGGAAAAGAACGACCAACATGGAAGATGCCTGAGCCTTTCACAGAGGGTGTTCATCCCGTTATCTGGAAATTTCTCCAGATGAAGAAACTGTCTAACAAAATCAACGACCAGATGCGTCCATACTTCTGCAGCGTGAACATGGAAAATCCTGAAGTGAAGCTAAGCCCTATCCCAAATTTTTTGAGGCAGAAAGGTCTAACCGCCCAACAAGTCGATATGTGGAAGAGCACTGCTCAAGATGCCTTCCGTCAGCACATGTCTCAGTACACTGCATTCGAATGTACAACAAACGGACCTGCATGGAAAGCTGCAGAGAAAGATGTCCGTTCCGTCGTCAGGGAAGATGCCCACCTTGTTTTGGATGCATCCAGGGGGGTTTTGACCGTGGCTGGGAAAGCTGACAATGTAAAAACATTCAGGGTGTCTGTGGAGAACATCGTTAGTAAAGCCTTGAGTCATATTGAACGGCAGACAAATGGAGTCTCTGAAGTAATGAACTTGGCCCCTGCAGTTTTCTACATCCTGCAGCAGGAAGGAATTCAGAAAGCTACACAGGACATTTCCCCTGAGATGAACCTGTCCTATGATAAAAACTCTCAGAAGTTAACCATTACAGGGCTCTCTGCAGAGGTTTCCAAGACTAAGGCATGGATCTTGGAGCGAAATGTGGGTAGGAGTAAAAAACAGATAGAACTTCATTCAGGTCTTTTAGACTTTCTCAAGACCGTGGATCCCATGGACATGTCACACCATCTGTTCACCTCCCATGGCATTAGTGCCATCTTCAGTGTTGAAAGAAAGGGGGTTTTGCTGTTGGGGAGTTCTGAGGGTGCTCTTGCTGATGCAGAGAGAAAGATAAATGCGAGTTTAACAGTCATGATGCTGGATGTGGAAGACCAGGCAGTTCTGAATCTTCCCAACTGGGCTGATCTACACCGACAGCTTTTGGACACTTACAACTCTTCAAATAAGAAAACAGTGTCCATCCAGATCTACCCTGGAAGACAAGATCAAATAACGGTGGCAGGCTTCCTGAATCCAGTGAAAGAGGTCAGTCGTAATCTGAGTGAATTCATTAAGTGCTACTCCCGAATTGAAGAAAGAATTCGTTCGCAGTCTGCTGTCGTTGAGTTCATTGACAAGAAAAAAAAACTAGAATGGTCCAGCATTGCAAAAGACAATGATGTGAAAGTGAATTTGGATCCACTAAGGCAAAGAATCTATATCACTGGGGCTCGTCTCCATGTCCAGAAAGCCAAATCCTGCCTTGAGGAACTGACTAGTTCTCTCTTTAGTGACAACCTGAGAATGAATAAGCCTGGAGCAAAGAAGTATTTCCAATCTCAAGAAAGCTGGTTTCAGGCTAATATAATGTCAGAGTTCAGTTGTGTGGTGATGCTTCGTCCAGAGAATCAAGAGGAAGAGGAGGAAGAGAACTATGAGGATGAAAATGGCTTTATTTACTGCAAAGTGAAGACTGCCGGTGGAGTCCTGGTGTCTGTAAGCAAAGCAGACATTTGTCATTTTGGAGTCGATGCGGTGGTTAATGCAGCTAACGAGGAATTGCAGCACATTGGCGGCCTGGCTCTGGCGATGCTCAAAGCTGCAGGACCAGAGCTGCAGAAAATCAGCAACAACTATGTCTCCAAAAATGGAAAACTACATCCCAGTGATGCCATCGTAACAAGTGCTTGTAACCTACCTTGCAAGTACATTGTACATGCAGTTGGTCCTCGGTTCTCTGACTACGACAAGAAGACCGCAGTCTCCCGTCTGAAGCGTGCAGTTAGTGAAAGTCTGAGAAAAGCAGAAAGCGTGAACTGCTCCACCGTTGCGCTACCAGCCATTAGCTCAGGTGTGTTTGGCTTTCCTGTTGACCTCTGCGCTGAGACCATAGCTGAGGCAGTGCGGGAATACTGCGACAGTCCAGAAAGCCCAGGATCATTGACTGAGATTCACCTGGTAGACAACAATGATAACACTGTGAGGGTCCTGGCAGCAGCTTTCAACAAAGAGTTCAGTGATCTTGGACCAACTATGACTTTACCACCTCAGTCAGGAGGACAAAGTTCGAGGGCTTCAGGGTAAGTTGTAGATTTTTTTAATTATAGTATTAGAAGATAAAACTGGGCTTTGGATTTGGTTTAATGTTTAATAAATTAATGTTTCACCTTTTAAGAAATAGACTGACAGTATTATGATGTTTTCTTTTTCTTTAAAAGTTAGTTATCCGCCCTTCCCTTAGTCCATCAGTCTGTCCCTTCTTTGTGTTTAATGTAGGCTAGCAGAGGCATACTGCTAGCAAATAAATCTAGATTTTCAAAGATTTATGTCCACTGATTGTTACCACTCACACATCCATACATTTGAACATACTGACACTAACTTGTTAGCTTAGCTTAACACAGAAGAGAACATGCTAGCTAGAATGATAGCCATCTCTCAGTCAACAGACTAGTTTAGATTATGAAAGAGATGGGACAGAGAATAGATATATTTAGCTAAATACACAACATACAGCATGTAAATCAAAGACTTGTGACAAGTTGGGTCTGTGTTTGACCATGATTTTCCACTTTACAGCGGGTATCAACGGGGCAGAGGTCGAGGTGGACAACGGCAGTCACCAAGGGGGCGTAAGTTTAATGAAAGAGGAGGACGAGGAGCTCAAGGAGGAGGACGAGGAGCTCAAGGAGGAGGACGAGGAGCTCAAGGAGGAGGACGAGGAGCTCAAGGAGGAGAACGAGGATATAAAGGACGAGGACAAGGATATCAAGGACGAGGACAAGGATATCAAGGAGGAGGACAAGGATATCAAAGAGAAGAAGGATATCAAGGAGGAGGACGAGGATATCAAAGAGAAGAAGGATATCAAGGAGGAGAAGGACGAGGATATCAAGGAGGAGGACAAGGATATCAAAGTGAAGAAGGATATCAAGGAGGAGGAGGACGAGGATATCAAGGAGAAGGATATATAGGAGAAGGAGGATATCAAGGAGGAGGAAGAGGAGCTGGTGAGACAGGAGCTGGATTTGAGTGGAGTCTGCAAAATAACAGGGGTGGTCAGAGCCCCAGGGGACATGGCAAACATGGAGGGCATGGAGGGTAAAGTTCTTTCTCTTATTTATTTTCCTATCTTTATTTTTGTTGACAGTTTGTAATGCTTAATTTTGTATTTTATCTTCTGTGAGGTACTATAGAACACATTTTGGAGTCCAACTCTAAGGGTCAGGGAAAATGTCAAACCAATGCAAATCATTTGTAAGAAAACAAATCAAAACTAAAATTTAATTAAAGTAAAATTGTTGCATAGGGAATTTGTAATATCTGCCAAACATTTCACAACAAAACAAGAAAAAACTAAGTCTGGAATTGGTAAAGGAGACCTGTGATGACATCATTTTTGTTTTTTCATTGTTCTTCAACTGGCTGCAGGCCTGGGAGGATGGAGCAGACCACAAATGAAGGTCTGAAGATTGCTCTCTTGGAAGGAAACATTCAGGACCAGACTGTGAGTGACATGTTTAATACCATGGTTTAGTGTTGATATCAAGCCATAATGTTGATGCATGAGTATAACATTAATTGTGGTAGTTAGAGTGATAGTTTGGGTTCTTTGGTAGTTGGTTTGTTATGAGGTACATATCAATAGTAAGTATATGACCTACAGTAGCTGATAGATGACAGCACAGTCCAGTTTGGAGAAGACAGCGTTTCTACACAAAGCAATAGCCCTATTCAGACTACTGTAATAGTGCAATATTTACATTCCTGTCACGTTTAGCCTTCAATCTGAATCTCACAGAGGCGTAATGGTGGGACAACGTGACCCTCCCCCTCTGGGCAACCTTTAGATGTAGTAGCAGAGGGGTTACAGTGGCGAGATGGGATTGGCAGAGCCAGTGTGGGAGCAGTGTTATAATAATAATAATACATTTTATTTATAAGCGCCTTTCAAGACACACAAGGACACTGTACAACAATCAACATTTTAAAAACAGCGACGGATTAAAAAAAACAGCATACAATAAAGAAATGAAATGTAGGACAGTGTAATTGCAGTTAAAATGTTAGTGAGTAGGCGATCTTGAACAGATGGGTTTTGAGTCTGGATTTGAAGATGGGGAGAGAGTCAATGTTGCGAATGTCAGGTGGCAGAGAGTTCCAGAGCTGGGGAGCAGAGCAGCTGAAAGCTCTGCCCCCCATGGTGCTGAGGCGGGCAAAGGGCACGGTGAAGTAGATGGAGGAGGAGGATCTGAGGGAGCGGGCTGAAGTGGCGATGTGAAGGAGGTCAGACAGATATGGAAGGGCGAGGTTGTGAATGGCCTTGAAGGTGTACAGGAGGAGTTTGAAGATGATTCTTTGCTTCACCGGGAGCCAGTGTAGTTGCTGTAGGATGGGGGTGATGTGATGGTGACAATACGGGCAACGGAGTTTTGAACCATTTGGAGCTTATGGAGAGACTTATGAGGGCGGCCGAAGAGGAGAGAATTACAATAATCAATACGGGAGGTGACGAGGCTGTGGACAAGGATGGAGGTAGTATGGGGGGTGAGGGAGTGGCGGAGACGGTTGATGTTTTGTAAGTAGAAGTATGCAGACCGGGTAATGTTATTGATATGGGATTTGAATGATAGTGTGCTGTCGAGGGTGACACCCAGATTCTTAACCTGAGGGGAAGGGGAAACTGAGGAGCTGTCAATAGTGAGGGAGGAACTGCCAATTTTGGATAATATGGATTTAGTGCCAACGAGAAGGATCTCGGTTTTATCACTGTTTAATTTAAGGAAGTATGAGGAGAACCAGGATTTTATTTCAGATAAACAAGAAGTGAGGGTGGAGGGTGGAAGTGTGGAGTTCGGTTTACTGGAGAGGTAGAGCTGGGTGTCATCCGCGAAGCAGTGGAAAAGTATATTGAATTTACAGAAAATATTGCCAAGGGGGAGAAGGTAGGTGATGAAGAGAAGGGGCAGGACAGAGCCCTGGGGCACACCTGTAGTGACTGGGGAAGGCCCGGATTTGAACTGTATGAACTGAGTGCGGCCTGAGAGATAAGAGTGGAACCAAGTAAGGGGGGTGTGAGTGATGCCAATGGAGGTTGTGTGTGTGAGTGCATGTCTGACGATGTGTACGTGGAGCTCCTGCTGTGCCATGCTCACGTTGTGCTTCTGCACAGATTGGGACAGCAATTGGAAGTTGTTGGAGAATTGATTAGAATGTCTTCAGGCGTAATGACGGCGGAGCTTTGTTACAGCGCTGTATCGGAATTGCACCATGAAAAGGGCTTATGATTTGCTGTAGATAGGGTCACAAGAAACACAAACTTTAGCCATTTAAAAAAATCCTACATGTAAAACATGTTATTGTGAACGCTGTATTTCCGGGTACAGCCTGAACAGCCATCTGCATTTCTGCTCAATGAAAAAACAGATCTTCTGAGTTGTTATCCTCTTCTTGTGTTTGATGTTGAGATTTTGATCTGCAGACTCACGTCATCGTCAACACCATCGCAGAGAACATGAACCTGACACAGGGCGCTGTTTCCAAAGCCATCCTGCTCTCAGCCGGGCCCGGCCTGCAGGCAGCTGTTACATCTGAAGCTGGCGTGTCCATGCTGCAGTACGGAGACGTCATCATCACCGACAGCTTCAACCTCATGTGTCATAGGGTCTTTCATGTGGTTTGCCCTGGATGGGACAATGGAGGCGGCCAGGCAGAGGAGGTGAGGGGATTTAATCAAAAACGTTTGGGATTAAGATACTTTACTTACCTGGTGACGAAAAAATATAATAGTGAGTACATCCACATGAATATTTCTCTGGACATGCATGTTTTAAGAATCAAATGCTGCATTGGAAGTGACACTTTCGAGAAGTAGACAGCTGAGGAAATAACAGAAAACCTCATCCAAAATTCCATTGATATTTGCGCTAGTGCTGTCAACTAAAATAAAAATCAACTTTGAACGAATGCTGCACAGAAACAAAACACATTCTTTACCGTTGTAATAATAAGCCTAAAACCAACAGCCTGTTGAAAATCCAAAAGGACTGATATTTTTTTATACCATTTGCCAGAAACACAAGTTTATGAACTTGATTTGGATCGAGTGCAGCTCTCTCTTTATTTATTGAACTACTGTTCAGAGCGTACAGAGGTATATATTTGTGAAAGAGACTTTAATACCATTGTGAAATAGTTCAGTTCCTTGCTATTACAGAACACCAGGTTACCTTCTTGTCTGTATCTTGTTTTGGTCCTACTAGTTTGGTCTTTGATATGCAGTTAAACTTGTGTTAATGTTGTCTGTTTGTGTCAGACATTGATAACAATCATCAGATATTGTCTGGCGAAGGCTGAGAAACTCAAGATGACATCGCTGTCCTTCCCGGCCATCGGTACGGGAAATCTAAGCTTCCCCAAAGACGTGGTTTCCAGAGTCCTGCTGAAGGAGATCCACAATTTCAGCAGCAGCACATCTCCTCGCCATCTGAGAGAGGTGGCTATCGTTGTCCACCCGAGTGACAGACAAACTGTGGATGTGAGTTTCTAACTTGTTGACGAAAGCGGGACATGTTGAAGTTCTTAACAAGTTCTGGATGTGACAGCTATGCATGCAAAATAATGAAAGAAAAGTTATTTCTTGTTTTCCAAAACAGCATAATGTATGAAACCACTTTTGTTAATGGAACGAGTAGACGTAATTTCCGGTAAATAATCTAATTGTTATCAAAGCTAGCAAAAAGTCAGATTTTGGGGTTTTCCAACCTCACATTCAAAGGTTTATTTAATTTTCAATTTAATTCAAAGCTCCTGTGAGCAGATATTTGATCATTATCAGGATGGAAAAATGTATTAAAACAACTCATACCCCCAGTGTTTTGCTTTCCATCTGTAGGGAGCATAGTTTTGGGAAACCATATTTAAGTGGGCTTGTTTTATTTTTTGCAGGACATAAACCAGCTCTTCCCAAGCTCAGTAGTTACTTTATCACTCTAGTTATCTTTTTGTTCAATCCACATGAAAGTGTAAAAATTCTTCCACATTAAAGGGTTAATTTAAAGACTGCTCCTTTAAAGTTCTCGTATACCCATCCTTTTGTTTTCAGCGTTTCACCAGAGACTTTAAAAGTCAGACAGGTCAGAGAAACTTCCAACATGAAGCCCCCGAGTTCAGCCATCCAGCGGGGCAATCATTCCGTCAATCACAGCAGTCTTCAGGTATGAGGCATCTGACACTATTCATTTAAACATTTGCTCTTAAATAGATTTTATGTCCATGAAAACTTTTAAATAGACGGACAAAACTAACGTTATTTATTGTAAGTAAAGATTTATAAATTAAAGTGCTGGTTTAAACGCACAATATGTAAATTCCACCGCCGGAGGGCCCGTCATCGAAACAATTAAAAAGATGTTGAGGCTTGGGGGGAATCATAGAAGTGATTCTCTTTGCTATGATTAAAGAGGCCTTAAAATCCAATCATGATCCCACTGTGTGTGTGTGTGTGTGTGTGTGTGTGTGTGTGTGTGTGTGTGTGTGTGTGTGTGTGTGTGTGTGTGTGTGTGTGTGTGTGTGTGTGTGTGTGTGTGTGTGTGTGTGTCAGCCTCCTTCGGTCAGGTGGGGTCCCCCTCTCTAGGCGTGTACCAGATGCAGATGGGCACTCTGACCCTCGAGGTATCGTCTGGAGACATCACCAAGGAGACGTGTGATGTCATCATCAACGCCTCCAATCAAACATTTAACCTTCAATCAGGTGACTGGTTTTTCTCCTCTACATCTTTTTTTCTTGGTTTAATTATCAAACACAAGTATTTTACTAAACATCACGTCTGCTTACGTCAAGGAATTATTTGGGGAATTGTAATACTTGCAATATTATTTTCACCTACTCTTGTTATCAAACGTAACCTTGAAGCTTAGGTTGTGCATATAGGGCTAACAATTCAGTCCACTCACGATACGATCTGATTGACGATACTGGGTTCAAGATAAGATTCTCTAACGAACTAAATTATCTACTGGCAGATCGTTTCTGTTTCAGACTCAGATTCAGAGGGTTAATTATTAGGAGAATCGTTCCCCAGCTGAGAACCACTTTGTTGCAGTTTGTTTAAATAAAATGCATTACTGTTCATGTTAAAGCTTCATTATAATACCTTTGTTTACTTATTAAATCTCAGGAGTGTCCAAGGCGATCTTAGACAGCGCTGGAATGAGTGTTCAGATGGAGTGCGCACAAATAGGTATGTAGCTGGAGATCTTAACTGATCTCAGAGTGTCCTAAAGATATCAACATACCATCTGTGCACCTGACCACACCTTATTTTAAGACCAACACACCCATGAGTGCTAACATGGTCCAAAGTTCAATTGCTATAGAGGGCTGCAGGGATGACGTATTTTTGTTGGCCAACCCAGAAGTTAGCATTGCCCTGTTCACTTGTGACTTTTATTACTGTTGATGAGTATCAGTGACCTGTTTATATTCTTGTTGACTCAGCATTTTATTCTGTCTGTACTGGAAGCTGCTAAGAGCATCAGTCAAGGATCACTGTTGTTACTCCAAGGCTGCTATATTCAGTGCCTCTTTCATTGACCTTGTTAGCTTTTTAAATGTCTTTCGTCTTTGTCTTTCTGTTATTTCAATTCCTTGCAGAAAAATCATTCGCCCTTTGGGGACGAATAAAGATGAAGTTGAGTTGAGCTGGTTTCCACTGCAAAAAGCCTCTGGGTTTTTTCAAATGGTTTTTGGATTATTGGGAAAGAAATCCTGCAAGGGGAAATTCAGTTTTGCACTCTATTGCTAATAATACATGCTACACACACACAGGCTGAAATACACACACATGCACTAACAGGATCCTATGGACATGCACTAATGGAGAGATGCCAGAGTGAGGGGGCTGCCCACAGCGAGTGCTCCTGAGCTGGTGGGAGTACCTCTCCAGCTACCAGACCAAAATTTAGTCCACACTTGGACTTTAACTAGCAACCCCTCCAGTTCCCAACCCAAATCCCTACAGACTGAGCTAGTGCTGCCCCAAAATAAGTTCTGTGGCAAAGGAAAACTTCAAAGCGTAAATGCAAGAGTAAAAAGCTAACATCAGGCCATTAAGGAACTGCTACCAATCGACTGACTCCAACGTCACCACCACTAAGCTTCCAACCAGTAGATGAGTTTCCATGTTTGGAGTGATGACATTTAAAATCCTTTTGTAAACATAAATTCTGTAAAATATACAAGTAGGGCACGTTGCTGTACAAAAATACTTTAAAATATCTTAAGCTTGTCTTTTTCACAGACCTTAATGTGGGTATCTAACCAAAAATGGATTTTAGGAATCATTACTGCACCGCTATATTTACTCGACAGTCCGTTACGCTGCTACACAAACCACAGCTAAAAGCTATCACTGAGCCTGACTTTAGGCCAGTGAGCCTGTAGCCTAGTGCCTCTACTTACGTGCTACATTAAATGTGAAGGTGTATCCTGCCTTACCTTTGCCTCCCCATTCCACAACTTTGCATTACACATAGCAGACAAGGCGCAACAGTTTTAGTTTAAAGAACAACTTTATTATGAACTACAAGTGTTGCTGGAGCTTTTTTGACAGCTTCAAGACTTTTTCCATTCTCCATGCACCTTGGAAGTTGATGAAGTTAGAAAACCCTTCTCTGCTTCTGCAATGGCACTTTGTGCCAGGTGTACAATATGGCTCTTTGTCTTTTGTACCTGTTGCTAATCCACCATCTATAGATTACATCAGTAGAGTATCTGTCCTGGGGAAGTATGTTTTACTAGACTTTGTTATAAGTGTTGTTTGTTTCCTGTCTGTAGTGAGTTCTCCTGGTTACCAACCTAGTTTAATGATCGTGACGTCAGCCGGGCAGCTGCCGAGCAGAAACATCATCCACATCGTTGGGCAGAGCGACCCCGTGAGGATCAAAGAAATGGTTTACTCAGTGCTCAAGATCTGCGAGGAAAACAAGTTCAAGTCTGTCGCCTTCCCGGCCCTAGGAACAGGTCTGTGCAAAAAAAAAAAAAAAACATGTCTGTCTCTGTGTGTAGTTATTACTTATTGACAGAGAAACTTTGTTTATATCATTACTTGATCATTTTATGATAACTCTCCTCTCGAAGGGACTGAACTGGTTTCTCTCAAACATTTCCCTTTTCATCTTTTGTGTTGTTTTCTTGAATTTGTCATTTATATCATTTCACTGGTTCCCCATGCAGCTATGTTGCTTGAATCAATACTGATTTATTTGATTGATATTGGTGGTGCAACAGTCGTCACTGTCAGGTTGGATTAGAATGCCAAGTCAAACTTAAGACCAGGGACTGTTGGTGGAACTGGTCCCAGGTGTTGACGCTGATGCTAAGAAAATTTAGATCATCAGCAAGATGTTTAAATAATCAAACACTTTTAAATCGGGACTTTAGTGAACCTGAAACGTTCTGCAGCTATCCAAACACTTTTGAGTTTAAGAGATGGTACAGATTCTCTTTTTCATCCTCACATCATCACCATCGTCATCATCATCACTGGCGTTTGTCTGCTTGTTAGGTCAGGGAGGAGCCAACCCGTCGTTGGTGGCTGACGCCATGGTGGACGCGGTGGTCGACTTCGTGAGAAAGAAACGCCCCAAGTCAGTTCACAGCGTGAAGATCCTGATCTTCCAGACATTCATGGTGATGGAGTTTCACAAGTGCATGAAGAAGAGAGAGGGAGAGGGAGTGGAGGAGAAGGGCTTCTTCACTAAGATCAAAGGTATCGTAACTTATTTTTGGAAGGATATAAGCTCCACCTAATTTAATTATTTTTATCCTTTGTTTCTTGTTGATTCCTCGCTGTGGTTTTGCAAACCCAGGCCTCTTGGCCTGAGCGCGAGTTTTTTTGAAGGGTTACTGTCTTTCAAAGCAACAAGGCATGGAGTTTGAAATCTTTACCACAAAATGGGTCACCACTGATTATTTCATACTTTCTAGGTTTTATACATGCAGCAAAAACAAATGTCCCAAACTAATCATTGTTTACATTAAGCTCCATAGACATTAATAATGGAACACATTTCTGAAATGCATGTTAGATTTATCTGCAACATATTCCTTTGTATCAACCATGATGTCTTTACAAATTTAAACTTTTCTACACTCAACTGGGATATATCCTCTACCACTGTTTCAGACACTTTCACTTCGCTGTTTGCTGGATCAGTGGACAAGCGGACCAGGCCTGGTAACTTGGATCTGGAGACAGAGGAGTTTGAACCTACAGAGTTTGAGTTCTGTGCTGACAACCAAACGGTAAACATTCAATCATTTAGGCTGTGGGTCTGTCATACATAACTACCAACGTTACCCTAAGCTTAGAGCGCAACTACCAGAGTGGGAGCTCGTAGTGTTGCCAACCCAACATCGAAAACGGATAGTAAAGATTTATGACAAGTTCATGAGAATATAAGGGAATCCAACCTTAACATTCACACAGGTTAACTTCAGAAAACAGACAGAGGTCCAGACGAGTGAATAAAATGTTTTTGCAAAATTAAACCAAATTCCACCCCACCTCTTCAGGCTTTGGTTCTGGCTAAGAAAAAGATTGAGAAGCTGATTTTGGATGAGCAGGCAGAGAAAACCATCCAAGACCAGTACATCAGTCAACTGTCGCAGGAAGACATGGAGAAGCTGAAGGACCTGCAGAGGAACCTGACTGTGAGCATCCGTCTGGACAAAGGGCAGGAGGACAAGGAGCCAAAAATTCACCTGGAGGGTTTGACAAGGGACGTCTCCACCGCTGAGTCTACAATCAGGTCAGCAGATTCATCAAAAAGAGAAAATATATAATAAAGACTTAGTCCAGTTCTCAAAATGCTAGGCTATTCCTTTACATGTTTTGTTCCTGTCCTTAAGGGAAATCATACAGAGGGTGGAAAGGCAGGAGAACTTAAGAAGTAAGGCCATACTGGCGAGTTCACTTGTAGAGTGGCAGTTTCAACACCCCAACGGGAATAATGTATCCTTCGACATTTTCATCAACCTCAAACTGGAGGAGGCTCTGGAGAAAAAAGAACTTGTGAAGATCAAGATCAACAATGAAAACTACAATGCTGATGTCAACTATAGAAAAGCAATTTCAGTAAATGGACATAAAATGGTGGAGCTACTCAGAAAAGACTTGAAAAGTGAGTCATTTTGTTTCTCTATATCTCACTAAGGTAGTTTTCTACAAGGTTTATGGAACTAACTCAATGTAAAACTAGACCAATGTGGATTGTATAAATCTTCCAAAAATGTTGTACAAACACTAGCTACACAAGCACAACAAAAATGATTCTTGGTTATTTTCTTTGCAGGCGATGCTCCTCTGCCGTCAAATTGGGAAGACATGAAAGGCGACCTCATCAAGCTGTTTGCTCTGACTGCAGGAAGCAAGGAATACAAGGATGTGGAGACGAAAGTAACAAAGACCGGTCTTACAATAACCATCATCAGTGTATGTTCACTCTCTGATTATCTAGTCCTGTGTTCAGTAAAAGCATTAGTCAATTAAAAAACGAATTTCCCCTTGCGGGATCAATAAAGTATAAATTATTATTATTAGCCTGCATGTTGTTGTGTGTACAGGTGAATAAAATAACTTTGGAAGATCAGTTTGTGTAGCACATCAGTCAGGTTGAAGGTCCATCAGAAACCAAGTCCACTTCTCAAAGGTCTGTAACTCAGAGTGTTCCTCCCTCCCAGTGATATGAGCCAGTGTTTCCCACAGAATGACGCAGTACCTTTGGTCGTGGGGTTGGCAGTGCATCATTTAATCCCTCTATCTGCTCCGTCTCAAGGTCTAATTCACAGACTGTCTGTTTACTGTGCAGCAGCCGTTAATATACCTCGGCGGCCCATCCAAGTTTAGTCTGTGTGTGTGTAGGAGCTATTTATTTGTTTTTAGAATTAGTTTGGCCTAATATTTTGGTGGTGTTGTTTATTTAGTTATTCAACACGTTTTCTTAATTTAGAATAGATTTTGGGTAATATTTTCTTATGCTAGTTATTTGTTTAGTCAGTTTAGTTTTGCATTAGTATTTTTGTTCGGTATTTGGGTAACACTATGGGCACCTGAGGTTATTTAGGTAAGAGGCAGGTAGAAGACAAGCATGCACCTGGGTGGGCCTATGGTTTTTTAAAGCGCAAGAGAGGCAGCAGGATCAACGATTTCCTTTGTTCTTTTGTTTGCTTGCTTACTTTCGACCAAATAAACCACCAGAAACGCAGATCTTTTGCATGGACTTCTTTTGCCTAAGTACATCACACCCCCATGGTGCATCAGTGGTCATTTGATTATGTTTGATTAAGTTCATTTTGATTTCAATCAGATACTCAGAGCACTTGATATGCCTCTATACACTGTAAGGGTGATGGCCTTTACTATACCTTTAAATATGTATTTTTTTTGTATTTGCAGATTGAACGAGTCCAAAGTCCGACACTGTGGCAGAGCTACCAACTGAAGAAGAAACATATGGAGAAGAAGAACAATCACACAAAAAACGAGAAGCGACTTTTTCATGGTACAGGAGCCGACTCCATCGATCTCATAAACAAAGATGGCTTCAACCGCAGCTACGCAGGAAAACATGGTAATATTACAAAACAAAGAGTATGACCTACACCTGCTCTTTGCAAAGTGTCTTGAGATAAAACCTGTTATGATTTGGTGCTATACAATGAAGATTGATTGGCTGATATAGCAGGTTAAAACGATGGAATGTTTACATATGTTACTGTCTGAAAATTGACTATATAAAAAAATGGATGGTCTCCATTGTACAAAATTTAAGACAAACTTTCCCCAGCAAAAGGGTGATGCCAACATCAAGGATCTGTCAACAGTCCATCTTTTTATACAGGCATGATTGTTCATTTATTTTTGTTTGTTTGCAGCTGCGATGTATGGCAACGGCACATACTTCGCTGTGGATCCACGCTACTCAGCACAAGGCTACGCTAGCCCGGACACTCAAGGGCATAAGCGCATGTACCTGGCCCGGGTCCTGGTCGGAGACTTTACCCAGGGAAGAGGTGGCATGCTCACCCCACCCGCCAAGAGTGGGAATACTTCAGATCTGTATGACAGCGTTACTGATAACAAATCCCCTCCATCCATGTTCATTGTGTTCAATGACACGCATGCATACCCCGAATATCTTATCACATTTACATAAACTACTACGATCCTTTACTGCAACAGCTCTGAGAAAAATGCACCTTTGTCTAAAGTGTTCCAGTTTCACCGAGCACTCAACACAAAAATTTATACGTAGTTACAAGTTATATTTTAAGCTCAAAATGTAAGGATTGGAACAAGCAACTTTTGGCTTATTGATACACAGATTATCAGGTAGTGTTGTAGTACTCAAAATCGGTCTCTAGACCACTTCTTGAAGGTCTAGTCTCGGAATTGAAAGCATTTTCACTCACTGTCTTGTCTCTGCCTCAGACTGGGTGGACTCCAGATTTTAAATCAAGACCGGTCAAGGCCACCACTGAGAGGCTATTTTCCCACATCATTACTGTGATTAGAAGAAAAACGTCTCTTTCTAACAGAAATTAATAACTTAAATTCATTTGTAGTTTGATTTTTTTACCACCTGGTTACAGCCGTAACCTTCAAGGTGTTGAAGACTAAATGAGTGACACGCCTGCTGCACACAAGATGATAATTTTTCAGTGATATTTATGGTCTCGGTCTCGCCCTGCCTTGGTCTTGACTCACTCTTGATCCCTCAAGGTCTTGGTCTGGACTCGATCTCAGAGCACTCTGGTCTTGGGTATACATCCTGTTAGTGTGGTCTTGACTAAAACAATATTATCAGTACATAGATAATTGGCCTATAAACGGATCCAATGGTGAAATCTTTAAACTGCCTTCTGTAATGATCGTCTAAAAACAAATGAAATTCAGTTTAATACTTCGCAGGATAAGAGTTTGTTTTTTTCCTTGCAAATGAACATAAATGATTAATCACATTTTCAAAATGTTTACTGATATACCTCTCTCAAGGGCTCCATTGATATTTCTAAGCTTTCTGTGATATTCTGTATTAAATACCTAATTTTTCCAAGGGGCAGTGTTGTTTTGTTGGTTTTTGTTGTTTAAACACTCCTGGATAAATCTAGCAGAAACCATCATAAGGCTGCTGTGTTTAAAATGTATTTCTGCTTAAATTGTTCGAATTAAAAAACCAAGCTCCCAAGCCTTGAGTTTACGTCCTAATCCAACTAATTTTTTCCTCTTTGTACTTTTGGTTTTACTTTTAAATAAACTCTGAAAAACTTCAACTATTTGGTAAAGTTTTTGTTGATGCCTACAAATGTTATATGGTGTTTGAAATAAGATAAATTATACCAGGACTATTTCCATAGAAATTGTGGCTGTGGCCAGGGTTGTGGACGTATTGTTTAAGTCTTGAGTTTAGTGATTTAGCAGCTCCATGTTTTGTTTTTTGGATGCAGATATAACCATAGTTTGATAAAAAAAAAAAGATGTAGAGCTGTAGAGGACAACTAGTAAATGAGTTATCAGCTAACACCTTACTCTAAATAGTTCCCTTTTCTGACTGTGTTTCTGCAAAAGCGTTGCAACTAAGCTCAGCCATCATTACATCTTTATGGATACATCTTTATTTCACGATGGAGTAATATCTAACACACAGCGCTATGCCCCCCACCCCTCTGGGTCAGTTTATCCCGTCTCGCCCCTGAAACACCTCTGTTCTGTTACCACCTCCAAAGAAGGTATAGAGGGGGGATCACTTTGTCCCTCCCTTACGCCTCTACTACATTCAGATTGAAAGCAAAACATCACAACTGTTATCAGCCGTTGATAGGGCAACATTTAAACACCAAGGCAACCACGCCCTTTGGATACCCTGTATTTATAATTTATTTGACTTTAAAAAGAACCATCATTTACAATCTAAACATCATGCAGTATTTCACAAGTCTTAAAAGTAGTGATTGAGACTAAAACGAGTAAGTAAGTCAAGTAAAACATTGACTGTGGCAATAGATCAAGTTAAGTAGGTTCAACTATTTATAGACCAGTTTTTTTGCAGGAAGTAAAGTTGCCACTGCGGGCCATTAAATGCAGATTTAAGGTATTTCATTTTTAGACCATAGGCTACACCCAGTTTTTATATCAACAGTTTACTGCAACATTGGCCATCCTGTAGCTTGTTTAATATTTTTTTACAACTACTGCATAACTTGCCAAAACATGTTGAACAAAGATTCATATTTCTCAGAGGATGAATTTAAATGACTGGAGATCCAATGGATTTATATCAGGCCCTACCATGAAATTCACGTTTGTCAGTAGGATATTTTGTTCAAGCTTTAATAACCTGCAAAACTAATGGAATAACCATTAATATTAGCTATTCCTTATGTTATATTCAGCATATGGTGACCCCATCCTGATGTCTACACATACATCTAGAAAACACTAATATGTCCCAGTTTTGAACAGTTTTAACCAAACCAAAACAATCAGGGGTGCAAACTCATCAGGGATGAAAAAGATGACATGGATCCAAACTTCCTAGGGGGGTCCAGGGGCATGCTCCCCCGGGAAGACTTTATTAAAATATCAGCTTTAAAATGTGAATTTACAGACGATTTTAGCATTCAAACCTACTAAATAAGCAGTGCAAACAATAGGAAAAACACAATTGCTTGTCGATATCTATGTTCTGTTGCTCCCAACCTTCAGTCCCTTTTTATAAATGGGATGAATTTGCAGAACAGGGCTTACAATGTTCCACTAAGGGGTGATGTGTCCCCTTGCAGTCACTATGCAAGTAGCTCTCAGAGCAAGAGTCTGAGAGAGCATCATAATACAGTCATCAAGTATGACAATATTTTCTCTTCTATCATAAAATATGTAACATTATCAATATATTAACCTGATGTTTTGCTCCTGCTGATTCTCATTAAGTTTATATTCCCTCTGTCCTCATTACGTGTTGACCAGCTGTCACTTTAATGTTGCCTGAGATAATAATGAACCAGAAAGCTGTATGAAGTTACCTTCAGCTGGCACGCATTTCTCTCAACATCTTTACCTATGGCTACCAAACAGTAAATATGATCAGACAGGATGTTTAACAGAAAGGCTGGATTGCTAGCCAGACTTCGAATCTTTCCACAGTGTTATCACGGGAAAATAACGTTATGTAAATTAGCCATGTGCTGCATTGCGACTCATTGAATCAGGTTTCATGCTTCTTGCGGTCGGCACAGCGATATTGCATATCGAGAGGAGGGTCCGCGAAGGATCTGAGCGCCCCTGAGCGATTTTTTGTTAAAAATCACCTCCAAGATTTTGTAACAACGCTGACTGGTTCGCGCCGACAGCGTTGCAATGATTGGCTGCAGGGCCCGGAAGTACTTTCTTCAGGCCGTGTTGACTGCAGTCAGTATGAAAAGTCACGACGTTTGCAGGGGCCGTGCTTGCCGGCCCCCCCCCCTTCCTCCAAATGTTTTTATTGCAAATCTATATGAATCACACAAATGACATATTTGGATCCAAAACGGCAAATTTCACCGAAAGATGACAAGTTTGCACCCCTGACAATACATCATGCTTGCAACATTCATTTGATATGTAGACAAATCATGTGAATCAAATGTATAGTCTACCCTATTTTAAAATGCTAAACAAAAACAAGATGATAAAACTTAGGGAGTATCATATCCAAGATTTCTCATGCTTACTGATTACATTTTCGAAGAATAAACTGGTGGTGTGTCCAGCATTTAAAACAGTTTAACGAATGGCTCAGAGACCTTTTGGGGCGGCTGAGGCTCAGCTGGTAGGGTTCGATCCCCATAGCAACCTCTGCCATCACTATGTGAATGTGTAAGTGTGACATGCGGTGTAAAAGTGCTTTGAGTGGTCAGAAGACTAGAAAAGCGCTCTACAAACTCAAGTCCATTTACCATTAGCATTAGCATGTTAGCATACAGACGTAGCTTTAGTAGCACTGTGTAACACTTTGTACTGTTTCATACCTTTTTTAGCATGAAAACAACTCAAAAACAAGCTATAGGAGAACAGTTTGATGGATTTACTACAAGTGTGCTAAATGGAAAACCTTTCATAACTAATAATCCGACTTCTTATTTCAGCTTCTTACCTTTAACAGCTCTGAAACCGCTAATCTCGTTTTTCCTGCTGACCGTTACTTTGGTCCGCCATTACCGGAAACAGACTGGACGGAATTGGCGCCACTTTCAGTTGAACATAAAATAAATATGTTTAAAACAAAGGGCAAATAAACTAGTTTTTCAGTGAGATCATTGAAATCTTTCTAACAATAAAGATAAAATTAAGTCAATATTGTATTATTGTCTCTAGCCGTAGAGTTGTTCTGATCCAGCCTTAGATTGAGTCCGTTTGTGTTACGAACCAATAGAATAACAGGATCTATGATTGACAGGCTAAAAAACAATCAGTGTCCTACAAAGAGAACTCGTTCGTTAAGAGTAATCCAATGACTGAATTTAATGAGTAGATTGGCGTTAATAAAATAATAACCTTGTTCTGAACACCACCAAAACAAAAGAGATAATTTTGGATTTAATTAGATTTATGAAATCATGATTCATTCTGTAGGAAATTATTGGGAGGAAACTTTAAAAAGCCAGCAAAAAAAAAACAGAGAGGACTTGGCCTAGATTGTAAAAATAGCACAGAGGATTATAGGAGCTGTGCTTCTGGACCTGGATGCTGTATGCTGGCCACCACTTGCCCCTGACCCAGTCTGTTTGTCCCCCCTACCATCTCAAAAAAAGGCATCACACCATTAAAACTGTAGCAGACTGAGGAACAGCTTCTTCCCTCTAGCTGCAACATCCATCGCCCCCAATAACCATCATTCAGTTATATTTTGTTCATTGTGTACCTTGCTTGCGTTTGTTTTATTAATCTGCTGTTTGTGTTTTTTTAACATTTAAAAATCTTCTTTTTCTTGTCAATTGTTGCAGGGCTGCTCGTCACCAACGATATTGTGTTGCATTGCTGTCTTATGTGAATAGAAGTTGCCTGTGTGCGAGGAGAAGGGTTGAAGCTGGAGCGCGGGACATTTCTGTGTTATAGGCTATAAATCTACATGCCTTGATGATATTATTCTTTATATAGCCTGCCTATCAATTGATTTTAAGTGCAATAAACACGGACAATATCCGACCGCATTTTTTCCAAATAGTGAGTGAAAGATTAGTCAGCCATAACAACGGCTTTTATGTAGCTTTAAATTTTGGATACTAAGGCTATAACAAGGTGTCATTCTCTAATAGAGTTGATTTGAGATGTACATGATTCCTAAAAAGAACACATCCCTAAACACCTGTAATGTTTTGAATATGCAGAAAGTTATGAACAATACAGTTGAATAATTAATAGTAATTCAAAAATTTCCTATACATAGTAAAGAAATTTCCACCATAAATTAATTCAGAAAAGGCAATAACGAGCCAATGGGACGCTGTGTTATATGTGCTGTTCGTGTAATCTATCATCATTTATAAACTTCACTTTCAGCTGCCTGAATATTTTGTTGTGTGAAGTCAAGTATTTCCTCAACACTATTTGAGAACACAAAAAGGTTTTTTGAGATCAAGTTAAAAAAATTCTGGCTGCAAATTCAACAAGTCGTGCTCTCAAAATGAAAAGAAAAATGCGCTCTTGAATAAAAAAAATAGTACAAAACTCTGAAGATGTGTCACTAAATATGCGCCTGAAAAAAAAACTTACAGTCACACGATGATTTTTGTGGATGTTTTATTCACCAGGGTTCCTGAATTATTCACTTTACATCACCTTTTGTTGTCTAATATCACAGATTTGTGTTCACCTGTTAAACTCAAGAATCATTTTTAATGTTTTGAGTTGTTCCTCCTTCGTTGGAGTCCAGCAGCTGTTCAACAACAAGATCTGAGGGGGTGGGAAAAGGAGCTTGAAAATTCAGGACAAACTGATATATAAACTGAGTGAAACATCAAAGGTAAAAGTTGAAAAGGAAATCACCAGGTGATCCAGCTTCAATACTTTAGAGTCTCCTGTACCTGGTTAATGCACAAAAAGAGGAAATAAGAAATAATCCACAAAGAGGAAAAAAAGTTCTGATTTTCATCATCTGAGCAAATGTTTGCCAGCTGCAGTTTGTCCATAAAAATCAGACGAGTCCTTTGAGCAGATCCAAAATAAATCCAGAAATATTCCTGAAGTGTTAGGTTCAAGATTCAATGCAGCACGACGAACTCTTTGTGCTGTCAGACCTTTTTTTTTTTTTTTTTTTTTTAAATGAAAGATTGAAGAATCGTCCGTCAGTTCTGCAAAATTAAACAACACTCTGAGGCAAAAAACACTCAAACAAACCTGAAGACACTGGACCGGGGAAAACACTGCTGAAGGAGGGTTTAAATGGCGTGGGGGTGAAGGGGAATGTCACGTCTTTGGGAAATGCAGTTTTTCTTTTTTCTCCTGATGTGGAAATGCGGGTCAGTCGAGTCGCCCTCATTTTAAACCTCGTTCAGAGTCGCTCACAGTGCTCGTTAGAAAAGTCTCTCGGGATTGTCCAACACTTTATCCTTTTGACATCATCGTGGGTCCAGAGTTCAGTCCTGTTCAAGTGTGCTAAAGGAAGAATCCGTCATTTTTTTTAACCAGGACACCTCAGTTTAGGGACGCCTGACCTCCATGAGCCCAGAAGAGGCTCAGTGCATTGCTCCTCCACAGACACTGAAACTTACAACATCTGCAGTCACACACAGGTCGTGATCACATGGGACGCATTTCTAAACAAGCCTCGAGCTTCACTTTTTCTAAACCCCACAACTCTTAAAAAAGAAAATCAAAACCTCCGAGTCCTACAGGAGGAAACGTACAGACTGCGTATAGAAACTTAAACCTTTTCTTGCTGCGCTAGAACCCTGAAGTTTTGACTTTTCTCCAGTGAACAAGGAAACAGAGATCAAAACTTGAAGCATGGATTATTTAAATCTCAAAGAGTGGATTTATTGTATAAATTAACTGTTTCAGGCTTGGGGTGGTGGTGGTGTGGGGCAGATACTGAGATGTGAATGAAGATGATCATAGTAGCTAAAAATACAAAAGTCAAACATTTGAAGTTTTCACAAAGATCTTAAAAACCTTTAAGCTCGATCAGGACTGACTGAAATGTTTCCGCAGAAGTCTACAAAGAAGCATTCTGTAGATTGTCAATGACTCGATTGTTTCGCTTTTTCCTTCTGGCGACCTCCGAACCTTTTATTATTAATCTGGCTTTCAGCTGAGAGCAGTTTCACAGCCTTAGTCGAAGCTTTAACCACAGGTCCTGTTCACACTCTGCACTAACATCGCTCCTGGGTGATCGGATCACAAGGGTGTGAACGGACCCCAAAGCGTCCCGCGGGTGCATTGAGATCAGATCACTTGGGAGGTGGTTCTGGGACACATTGGTCCACACTGGTTTGGTAGTGTGAATGTCAATGTGTCCTGGGCCACATTAAAGACCCCCCCATTTACACATTTAGCCTTTTCAAATGTAAATGATGCCATGGAGACACAGCGTTAGTGCAAAGTGTGAACGCTGTCACTGCAGTGCTGTCCACTTGTGATCAGATCCCTGAAACCTCATGTTGATACCAGCTGTAAACAGGGTCATTGTTGGACTATAGCAATACCCCAGTCTGGTTTTTGGGGGTCTTATTGACATTTGACTGAATTCAGTTGATTGATTTCCGATCAATTCATCGTTTTATTGAACCTAAAGTTGTAAATTTGTGTTTTTATGTCCCATCTTTTAGTCCCTTTGTGAAGCGCTTTGGGCTGCATGCTTGTAAATATGCTGTTGAGGCGTCTCAAATCTTTCCAGACAGGAAGTAAAGCTCCCGTGTGATCCTGACCTGAAGCGAGTAAACTGCAGAACATGTTGATCTTTAGACACCTGGACTCTACTCTCAGCTATCAGGTGTCTTACAAGTCTTTTTATTTTCTTGTTTCTCCTCACAGGGAGTCAAAGCTCCACGTGATGCCGTCCACAGTAAGACACGAGTAAGCCTCCGCCATCGTGTGAAAATCAAAGCTTCATCTTGGGTGTGCTGGTTTGTGTCTTTGGATCTGCAGCACCACAGCAGCTAACGTGATCAGGGACTGAGACTCTGATGGTGAGACGTGTTCTCGGGGGGGTCCAGAGATCCACTGCTGGTCCACGGTGACCGTCTCAAACAGGAGGGAGTGGGTTAGGGGAGTCACCGCCTCTGCTGGCTGTGGACGGGGAAGGCCAGCGTGACGTTGAGCGAGTCGTTGTGTTGGACCAGCGACGTGTGCTGGTAGTGCAGCACGAGCTCCTTCAGAGAGCCGTACAGGTTGTAGGGCTCTGCGAAACCAAAGCCGGTGCTCGTCTTGTTGATGACGCAGTGTTTCACCTCCCCTTCCACCCTGAGAGAGAGAGAGAGAGAGAGAGAGAGAGACACAGAGTCAGACAGGAAGGAAAACATCCCGACTTCAAACATGAGTAAAGAGAGTTTTCCTTTTAAACATTTTTAAATTCTGTTTTTATCGTGTTTTTAATGAAAGTGTTAAAGGGAGTGAGACGTGTTCCCTTGTGTTTTTAGATTTCATATATCTGCTAACCTGAGTCAAAGACAGATTTCTACCTTTGCACTCAAAAGTAGCCGAAGTATTTTCTATTCCATTTAATCTAAAGGTTCACAAAGTTTTGGTATTACCATAAAATCCAGAATACAAAGCGCAGTCTGTTTATGAAGGTCTCTCAGAGAGGAAAACTTTTTTTAAACTGTCTTCCTGCGTGACGATTTCTATTGTGTACAGCGACATCAACCCCAACCCTAAGTTGGGTGGAAATGCAGCCCACTTTGTAGATGACAAAATACGCCTTAAAAGTGCGACTTGTTCACGGCCCATTCTGAGCCCGTCAGTGACAAAAACAAACAAGTTCAAGAGACCGACTGATCAGGAATCAAAGATCCTGAAACATGATGTTAAAGGCGTGTGGGCTGCTGGTTTTAACGACTGACTGAAGCAACTCTAAAGCTTTTGTACCTTTTACTATTCACAATTAAACAAGATAATGTAAAATGTTGTGATTTCACTTTCAAACAGGATGAGTGGGAGAAAGAGAGGCTTACACCACAGAGCAGGCGTAGCAGCCAGGCTTGGTGCTGTGTCGGACCAGGAATGTCCCGTCCCTCTTCCCCCGGAGCAGCGACTCCGCCTGGTTCCTGTTGATGTTTCCCAGATGCCACAGACGCTCGTCATGGTGAGGAAGGTCCTCCTCATCCTCCACCATGCTGTACTCACTGCGAGGAGGAGGGGGGACATGTGAGCAGAGGATAAAACACACACAGACACACACACACACACTTCTGCTTGGAATAATCTTCCAATAATAATTCAGACGTATAACAGAAGCTGTGTTTACGGGCCGATGACGCCCCCTGGTGGCCAAAAGCATATAACTTCTAATAAAGACATGAGGGCTGTTCTCAAAGTTACATGTCGTCTAGAGTGTCAGAAATGTGAAAACTTCATGTTTGAAGCTTTACAAATCCACAGAATAAGTTTGAAATGTTCTCTCAATAACTTCTGGAAGATCTTTCACCAACATGTTAAGTCAACTTCACCCTGAGAAAGCTCCAGATGCTGCCCAAGGCTTCATAAAAAGCTTTGTTTAAAGACATTTAACTTAAGTTCACTGTTAAAAAAAGCTGAATCAAAGCAAAAAAAAACGATTCTATGATGAAAGAACAACACATTAACTTTTTGTCATAATAGCTGCTGTTCTGCTAAATGTTCAGCAGTTTCTATTTTCTATTTCTTTTCCTATTTTTGTTCCTTTGCCTCTTACGAGTCTTTTTTATTTATCTGTGCAATGACTTCTTTATGTTACTGCATCACACCAGCTAACCCTCTGAAGATCAATTAAGTTTCATGTCATAGCTAGTGTTATAGTCCAGTCCACACTAACAGAGACCAAAACATACCAGAGTGCTCTGAGACTGAGATAAGACCAAGACATTTAGGGATCGAAACCAAGTCAAGACCAACACCATAAATATCACAGAAAAATCATCATCTTGTGTTTAGGGGGCGGGTCAGTCACTTAGACCGTCACGCCGGGAAGGTTGCGGTCGTAACCGAGGAATAAAAATCTAATTATAAATGAATGTAAGTTATTTGTGGCATTTTCCTTCTAATCACAAAAATTAAGTCAGTGGTGGTCTTGATTTAAAATCCGGAGTCACCCCAGTCTGAGACCGAGACAAGATCGAGTCAAAATGCTTTCAATTCCTAGACTGTCAAAAAGTGGTCTTTAGACTGGTCTTGAGACCAAGACCGATTTCGAGTACTACAGGACTATAAAACGCTCTTATTCCAGCGGCATGCAGCCAAAGTAAAATCTATCTGACACACTGACACTTGATGTCACTGTCCTGCAGGATGTTGTCAGTATTGATGTAAGGTGACAACACAGAAGTTTGAATCTGTGTTTTCCATTTAACGTATGGTGAGGGTGTAATTATTTTTGCTACCACCAGGAGGCTGCAAAAGTTGAAATCTTTGGTCACATTTCCGGACAAACTTACTCCTCTGTGGTTTCGTTCTTCAGGCCGAGCCACTCGTTCAGCTTCCTCTGACGGACTCCTTTCTGAGTCAGCCACCTGAAACACACACACACACAGGTTAGCATAATGTGATGTGTCAGACAGCCGTGTTGTGTTGTGTGCGTGTTCCTGGTTGTGTGTGTTTCTTACATGAGGTACTGGTCCCTGGTCTTGCGGAGCTGGATCAGGTCTGGTTTGATGCTGTTCATCTTCTTGTCGATCTCTCTGTAGTCGGCCGCCTGCTTCTTCAGGTCCACCTCCAGGTGTCGCTTACTGTCCACGATCTCACTGATCCGAGACTTCAGCTTGTCGTAGTTCTCCACGATTCTTTCAAAATAAAGTGACATAATTCAGTCTTTAATTCAACACAGAGGCCTTGTTCCCACTCTCATTAATCTCCTGAATGTTTCTCTCTTCACCTGGAGTTTCACCTCCAGACCCCTGGTATTTATTCAGCAGAAAGTCAGAGGGAGCTGATGTGAGAACGCAGCAGGATATAATCAGGAGAATTCACCTCGAGCCAATGGGCATATATACTGTTACTGCTGCACGGTGCATAGACTGTCTGCACGCCTCCTCTACCATCTCTGTGCTCTAATGAACCTGCTGCATTATGTTTCCTGTTCTCCAGTATGTTCTTCTCCACTCTTCAGTTCAGATTGAGATTCTGTTCAACTACACGTAGCATTGATAGAAAGACAGATAGTCTCATTATAGCGTCATATAGATGTTTTCCTCTCATGGTTTCTAAAGGTTTACTTCTAACTATTTTTTGGCTTTGGAAGATTAAAAAAAAAAGAAAAAAGAATGGGTTAATGTGATTTAGACCCAGATAAGCTTTATGAAACATACGGCTGGATTAATAATTTAATTCTGCACATTTATATTATTCTGTTATTATCTTTGTGACTTTTGATTATCACATACAATCAGTTTAAATTAAACATTTAAAAAATGTTTTTTAAAAATCCTAATCAATGAATTCCTCTGTTTATTAATTTAGCTCAGTTCTTTATTTGTGCAAAGAGTGAGGTTGACATAAAACAGAAATATAAATAGAGAAATGTGCGCTTCATTTTGAAATGACTGTAAAACTTTAAACAAAGGAATAGTGGCAGGCAGAGTGCAAACATCCAAACATATTCAAGCTGACGCTTTTAATGTAAAGAATAACTAAGTCTTAACGAGCAGATTTTGGTGTTTGAAACCTCTCAATGTAAAGAATACAAACTCGCCTGAAACAAGTCATGAGATTAAATATAATCTGAGTTTAAAAACTGCTCTGAAGGTTTTTGTTTTTGGTAGAAAGTTTGAGAAATTAGGATCAAACACTCGACCATCAAACCTTAACTCACCATCAGCTGGGTTCTTCCCGCAGCCTCTGGTGCCATGGCAACTGGGGCCCCTTCATATCTGTGTGCGAGCGAGTGAGTGTGTTTTTAAGAGAAAGGTCTCCGTCACAGTTGCCGTGGTAACAGCCTACCTCTGGATCTCCTTGTCGTTGCCCTCTCGACGAAACTTCTCGATGTACTCCTTGCTGAATCGCTCCTGTGTCTGACACTGCTCCTCAAAGATCTTTATGGTCTCGTTGAACGCCTCGATGGCCGTCCTCTTCATCTGGATCTCCTGGGAAACGAAGAGGAGGATGAGGAGGAGGAGGACGAGGAGGAAGACGAGGACGAGGAGAAGGAAGGAGAGGAGGAGGAAGGAGAGGAAGAGGAGGAAGGAGAGAGGAGGAGGAGGAAGGAGAGGAGGAGGAGAGAGAGGAAGGCAGGAAGAGTCAGTCATGCTGAGTGAATTTGTCTGAATTTTTTTTACAATAAATTGAAAAACTAAACCTGTGAACAAACTCTCGTAAAAAGCCTCGAGGCTAAACTTTACTTTCTCACTTCTGCCTCTTGTTTTTTTCCTTTTTGCGTTTCTGTACAGAACATAAAATGTTGCTGAAACAGACCTAATCTCCTGCAGCAGGGCGTCAGACCCTAACATTTCTCCATCTTCACACTGAATCAACGATTTAGTCGTTTCATGCCGAGGTTTCTCAAATGGAGAATCACTGCGCCCCCTAGTGGTAATTAAGTGACATGACGAGGGCACTTCAGAAGACTAAAAAAAGAAATGCAGCGCTGCGTGACAAAATTTCTATCGCTAGCTTTGCTCTTGTTTGTTTGCAGCAACTTGGTTAGACCAATGTCAAAGAAAAGTCACGCTCTCGCCCGGACTTAAACATTGTGTGGTCTGTGTGTGTGTGCAAGTGGCAAAGAAAAATACAAATAACCAAAACTAGACGAGTGTTTCTGACACGTGAAAGCATCTTTTTTTGTGTGAATCATGTCGGTTTCTGAACATTTGAGGACCTGAATGTCCCTGAAACTACCGAGAGAGCATCAGGAGTTCATGTGTGACAGTGGCTGCGTTGTATTTATCGTGTACCTGCGAGGTCCGGGTGTACTCCTCGTACAGTCTGTCGTACTCTCGGTTCTTCTCCTGGTACTGAAGGTGATACTCGTGGAGCTTCTTCCCCACAGCTTCGATACTGTCCTCCTTCACCACCTGGTCCTGAAAATCAACAACAACAGAAACATCAACAACATGTCCAACCAGACGTGTTAACCCGTCTTTGGGTTGTGGTGTGAAATCCAGTCTACACACCTGCTGATGTTTGGAGACCGGGTAGAGCAGCTTGACGTCCAGTTTGGGGTTGTACTGGGCGAGCGACTCGTGGCGGTAATGGTTGATGAGCTCAACCACCGAGCTGAATGTCAGAGGGTCCGAGAAGCCGTACTTCCCCTCCCGATGGAAAATCTTTATCAGCTTGTTGTTTCCTCCTTTCCTGAAGGATCAGAGAATAAACATCTGTAAACCCAACCAGCAGGAGAATCACATCCAAACAAATCACATCTGTTTGACTTCCTTACAACCAGGAAGTCAAACAGATTTTAGCTCTATCATATCTGTATGTTTTGACACATTATTACACGAGTTCTCTCCCAAACACTTTTCCTGACTAGTCGAGGAGGAAGCTGCTCTTTAAGTCAGGTCGGACAACCAGGAAGTCACTGAACTGCTGATTAACAACAAGATCGGGTGCATAAGACGCACTTTTAATAACTATGTTTTGATCTGTTGATTTGATGTAGTTGCTGATGGCACTTCAGCCGAATCTCTAAAGCTCAGTTACCCAATCCAACAGGCGACCTACCTGAGGGTCAGAGTGTAATCTCCGTGCATCTTGGTGGAAGCGTCTCGGACCAGGAACGTGCCGTCAGCTGTGTCTCTCAGCTTCTCGTTCACCTCCTCTCTACACACACACACACACACACACACACAGAGAGGAACACGTTGTTTTACAAAGCACCACATGAAGTTAAAACAGCTTTGAAAAGTCATGAATACGACCACATTGTTGTTGATGTTATGAGGGGCGATTTGTTGAACCTGAAATCAAATATTCTGTGTTCATTCCTGTAAGGGTCACTGTTACTGGAAATAATAATATTGTTTTTTTTCCCCATTCACTTCAGGCGCTGTTTCCTGAATTAACAGGATGTTTCTGGTCAGTGCTCAGCAGGGCAGTGTGTGTGTGTGTGTGTGTGTGTGTGTGTGTGTGTGTGTGTGTGTGTGTGTGTGTGTGTGTGTGTACCTGGAAATGTCTCCCCAGTACCACTCGGCGTCCTGCAGGGAGATGCTGTTGTTGAAGCTGCAGGAAGGAGCTGGAGTCGGAGGTTTGACGGGTTTAGGAGGCAGCGCTGCAACAAAAGACAGAGGACACATTTTTAAACGTCTGTTTTTTAAATTTCTTTTAACCAAATCACATGACGAGGACTACATTTAGTAACACGCTGCACGCTGCTACGTTTGTCACATCTCCCACAGAACGAGAGAGGAGCCGACGCCGGGACGGGGATTTATTAGTTTAATAATCATATTTAAGAGTATACATCCTCCTGAAAAACAAAATAGCATCATAACATTCATGTTTTAGTCAGGAGAGGGGAAACCACATAATGCAGAAACATCTTTAACTCATTATTTTTTTCTGCAGAGCTTGAGATTGTGGGGACTCCTTTAACGACGACAGAAACGGCAGATTCATCAGAGGTGGAGCGAGAAGATTCGATGGGGACGGGGTTGTTATTAAAAGACAAATCAATAAAAATAAAGATACAGACAAATAAAAGCACCGTCAGGCATCACTAAGGTTTGGACTACATGAGAACGTGTTGCAGGATTACGTTCCATCCACGCCTTCATAACCTTCCATCTGGACTACTGTGATGGAGTCCTGTCTGGGGTACCCAGCAAAACCCTAGACGGGCTCTCTCTGTCCACTGTCAGGGTCCTTGGCTGCAAATCACCCAAACCCACACTGGCTCCAAATTAGAACCAGAAATACAAAATACTCCTCTTCACTAACAATTCCCTCCACGACCTTCTACACTCACACACTACGTCCCGAAACCTCCGGTCCTCGGACCCTGGCCTGCTGCCCATACTGCACACCCCTGTTGTTGCCGTTTGCCTGGCAAACCAAGGGGCTTCCAAAACGGCCGTGTGGGGGGTGCCTTAAAGCCGCCTACCTTCTCTGATAAATGATTCTTTACATTTTAAAAATTGAAAGTAGATTTTTTACATTTTCAGCTTCAGAACTCGACTGCAAAGTGCGCAAAGACAAACCCTCGGGTGAAATGCTCCAGATCAACGACCGTCCACTAGAAGTCGTCGTTTACGTCACTGAACGGCTCAGATTGTTGCTCTAAATGTCTGACAACATAACCGACAGGATCCCTACAGAGACGGACCTTTTCGACAAAGCGGAAGACTACATCGCTCTCTTCAAAGCTAACAGACTCCACTCACAAAAACGCAGGAGACGTTCGTCTAAAGTGGCGTCGACTGGTTAGTTTGAGTCTGCTTTTTTGTGTCTTCGGGGTTTTAAAGAATCATTTTAGATCCATCACGATATTTATTTAAACACAATAACACAGAGATTAACCTACAGAGGCAGAAAGTCATGAGACCTGCATGAGGAAATTCCAGTTTTTGTAAATGGAGTTTGGAGGCTTTGAGGAGAGCAATCAAACGACAGCGTCTTATATTTAAAAAAATGCATCTTTCTCTTAAACAAAAAAAGTTCTGTCTCAGTAGGGATCCTTTCTGTTATGTTTTCAGAACCTTTAAGTAACCCTGTCAGGGACATAAACAACAACTTAAACCTGTTGCTCATGCCTAAGATTACATTGCAGCCATTGTTGCCTGTTTTGCAGCTGTCTGCTGAGGCAATCAAAACTTAGAAGTAGATGTTAATTAGAGCCCAGATTCTCTTAAAAAAGGGACACAGGTTTAAAAACAACATAACAACCCTTTAAATGCAGAAACAAGCGATTGCATTCACTCCACTCATCATCAAAACAAAATTTTACGAAATCCGTTTTAGGATAGTCAGCTGTAAACCCACAACAGACTAAGAGCAGGGGAGAGTCCTCCAGGTTCAGGTCTGACCTCCTACCTGGACTCTGCATTTGAATGTAGCACAGGATCTTGTCTCGTCCTGTCAGCGGCTCGGCCTCGGCCCTGCCTCCCTCTTCTCGCTCCATGTTCGCCTCTAAACCTTCACACACACCTCAGAGGTGAAACTGAACCTGGATCCTCCTGTTTTGGGTCTCATGGCGTCCTGCCTACAGCCGAGTGCTCCAATTCTGCCGCGGAAAAAAACTGACGTCATCTGGAAGGAAACGTGTCCGGCCTACAATCTCCAAACTGATCTGGATTTTTTTTTCCAATCTTTTTTCTCGACTGTCACTTTATATCAAAGATGCACCGATAACAGAAACCAGCAGGATATCGTCTTCTCCGGCTCTCTCTGCACCTGAAGACAGACCTCTCACACTCTCATCTCTGCTGAGAAACTAACAGCCTTGCAGGCCTTCTCCATCTCTCATTTATCCAAATCTGCAGCGGTCTTCAGTGCCGAAGATTTCAAACGACGCAACTTTCTCTCCGTCCGTCCGTCTCGGAGCACCAGCCTCGGTTCAAAAGCTCAGGAGAGCAGCTTGGAGATGTGTGACATCACCGTTGCCCCCAGCCAATCCTGCGATGGCAGTGATATCACCGAGGCAACACCCCCCTCCCCTCCCCTCCCTTCGTCTCCTCTGCTGCATCTTTCAGTGTGTGGACGGATGATGTCATCGTTTCAGTCTGACCAAGTGGCTGATGAACACACTGACTCACAGCCTGAACGAGTGAACCAATGAATGAATGAAAGAGCTGCTGCATGACAGAATGAGAAGCCGCTGACTGACGGATTAATACAAAAAAAAAAAATGTAAATTCTAAAAAAAGTGTCCATAAAATTATAAGTTAGTTTTTTGTTATTTGGTCACTGGCGGTGCATCATCCACTGCAAAATCTTTACCTGCTGCCGCCATGTCTGCACGCCTCGATTCAGGGACATGACGACCACGAACAAGGGAAGTCAGAAGCAGATGGCGTCCTTTTTACAGACGTAAATCATCCCCTCTGTGTACCTGTTTTCTGTCTAATGACAATGCTAACTAGAGCCGACCGATTAATCGACCAGCCGATATTAGCAGATCAAGTGACCGTCAACACTACATTTAACTTCCTCTGTCGGGAGTCGGGGACGAGTGGGTGATTTGGTTTGTCGACTATCATTTTGAAGCATCGAGTTTGACATTTTGCCCGTCGCGAGACGAAAAATATCTCTCAACTCCGACTTCATGGCAGAAACCCTCTTCCCTCATCCACGCCTTCATAACCTCCCGTCTGGACTACTGTGATGGAGTCCAGTCTGTGGTACCCAGCAAAACCCAAGACAGGTTCTAAATGTCCAAAACTCCACTGCCGCAAATCCCCCCAACTATCATCCACCTCCACTGGCTCCAAATCCAGAATCCAAAATCCTCCTCCTCACTAACAAATCCCTCCACGCCATCGCCCCCTCAGTCCCTCTCCGACCTTCTACTCCCTCACATGACGCCCCGAAACCTTCAGCTGAATATGGAACTGTGCCCGCCAGTGACCGTGGGTTTGAATCCCACCTCGGCCCTTTGCTGCATGTCACCTTAAATTATGTAAGATAGATCATAACCTTACGCAGATTCCTTCTCAAGTTTTGATTTAAATCGGGACGAATAAATAATAAAACAATCTGAGCTTTCATCACTTTTGTTAAACCTCGCAGATATTCTCCTGTGACGTAACGTCGTTATGTTTATTCTTCCATTCGTTCCTTTGTATCCTCCGTGATCTCATTCGAACCATCTGACATGCAGCCCGTCAGGTTGAGCAACAGCTGTGACTTGTGAGAGTGACGGGCGGCGTGTTAGAACACTGTTTCCACGCTCTTAGAGGAAGTGAAAGAGGAGGTGGAGGATTTGAAGCGGCAGAGAGCAGGCCTGAATCATCCCGATAAAACCTGAACAATACGATTTAAAAGGACGAAACAGAAGTCGTAACGTTGTGAGTCAGACTGACGCGGCGCCTTCGGGTTTTATGTTCACGCAGCTTGAGAAAGATCAAGTGTCAAATTTACCAACTACGACTTTTCAATCAGGGCTTTTCAATCGTGGGAAACAGTGAACAATCAAACATTTTATAAGGTAGGTCTTAAAAGTGATTCTCTGATCTCACACAGCCGTCTGACAGCGACACACACACACACAGAAGTAGACACAACATGTGGAGGGACAACAAGAGGGCGATGCTTTTCCTCGGTCGGAGAAAAAAAAAAGCCCTGGGAGTGAATAATATTAATATTACCTGCCAGTTGCTATATTACAAAGACCTGGCTTAATCCATCATGAGCACTTTAGCAAGGCAACAAAAGTTACAGTGGTAAGAAAAAAACGTATTAAAAGGCAGAAATCTCCCAGGCTCATGACGAAACAGCCTTCACAGGCCTAGACTGCGCCAGGCTTGAAAAAGGGATAGGGAGAGATGGGATAAGATGGATATCATGGTATGGTCATGGATTGGGAACCCCTGGGCCCCCGCTTCCTAATTGTGGGAAACGGGGAGAAAGAGACGGAGAGGAGCCGCTCCCCAAAGCTCCTCACACCTCACTCATCATACTTTCACTCACCCTCATACCTCCCTTATAACCTACACACTCATAAACACACTCGTACCTGGAGCAGCCTGGTTCATGTTGAGCTCGCTGGTTATCAGAACCTCCAGGACCTGAACCAGAGGATCCAGACTGGACTCAGATCTGAACAAGAACAGAAACAGAAACAGTGAGATTTAACAGCATCACAAAGAGACAAACGGTATCTTCTTAAATTTGTTCTTGAGAAAAACCGCCGACGTGTTTAAAACAGCAGAATTGGTCACTCCTGTGTTCTTGACTTAATGAGCGCCATGTCCTCGTTAAGTAGAAGCTGGAGCGTGTTTATCTTGATTAACATGAGGCCACATTCAGACCTATTCGATATTTACACCCCTGTGACGTTTCACCTTTAATCTGAATGTCATGGAGGCGTAATGGGGGGGACAAAATGATCTCCCCTAACAGAGACGATACAGGACAGGCAACTCCAGCAGGGGAGAGCAGCGCTACATGTATGGGCCCTCGCAGGTATACTAAGACAAATGTGTGTTTGTTACTGACCCTGGAGTCTGTCTGAACAGCAGCGGGCTGAAGCTCTCAGCCAGGATTCGGGGGCTCAGCTGGTTCCTGGGACCGTGCAGACAGAGCCGAGCCAGATGGCGGATCACGCTGAGGAGGGTCAGGCCGTACTGAGCCGGGCAAGACGGAGAGCTAGCCACTCCCCGCAGCACCTGAGCACAATCCTCCAGGTCCCGCACCTCTGCAGACGGATAGAGGGGGAGAAAACTGTTAAAAATAAGAGTCTACAAACAACATCTCAGGACACGGGGGAAGGCGGGGGTCTGCTTTAATCTGACCTTGTACTGCCTGCAACATGTCCCCCTGCAGTGATGAGGGGAGGACAGGACCGGGTAGATCCTGCAGAAACCGGACCACCCCGTCACACAGGGACGACACCTCCAGCGGCTCCAGGTCTGAAAAAACAAACGCACCTCAAATTAAAGAAACTGGAGCAAAAGAACGACTCTTTGATGCAACAGATAAAGAACATTTATGATCTTCTGAAAATTTTTTAATCTCTTAGGAGTAAGGGCGTTCTCACACCTCACCTGTGTGGCTCAGGTAAAACAAACTCAAGTCCGTTTGTCAAGTTAGTGCGGTTCTTTTGTGCTGGTGTGACAGCCGTCAATCAAACCCTGGTGTGGACCAAATAAACGTACAGAGACCGCTTGAAAAGGGGGGTCTCTGTCCGCTCTTATTCAGACTGATGCGGTTCCTTTGTAAGAGCATGGACCGACCTCGACCCGACCCGACCCAACTGCAGGAAGTAACCTGTCCTCTCTGTTCAGCGTTACTGAACATGTGATAAAGACCACAGGCAGACTGAGCTTCAGAAACAGTTTGGGTGCACGAGCAGGTCCTGGTTCAGGAGGATTAACGAGCTCCTTCTTCTCAACGGTCTTGATAAGCTCCAGAACATCAACATGTTATTGTCAAACTGTATCGTCTGCCTACAGCGCTAAATGTAAAAGTATAAAAAACCGATGAGGAGAGCTGACATCACTCCGTGTAGCCGTCTGTCCATTTAGTAGTTGTAAAGCGTCTTTGGAGCAGCCACAGCCAATCAGGAGCCAGATAGTCTTTGTTTACTTCATGGAGATTAACTACAAGAAAGTCCGACCAATCGGGAAGCGTTTTCCTCGTGCATCACACATTTTGGTCCTCTTGTAAATGTCCCCTCGTGAACACAGGCCGAACTTAATGCAAAAATGTAACAAATTGGTCGATGATTCAGACCAAAGCAAACGAACTTCAGGTGTGAAAACGCCCTCAATTTGTAAATTTGATTTCATGTTGATTCCTTTCACAAACCCTGGACTTGTTCTCCCTCACCTGTGTCGGCCAGCTGCCGGGTGTCCAGACCTCCTCCGCTCATACTGCGATACACACCTGGACTCTCCTGACCTGCAGCATCACACAAACAACACAACACGTGAGCACACACACACACACCACACACACCCACACCCACACCACACCCACCCACCCACCCACACACCCCACACCACCCACCCACACACCCCCACACACACCACACACACCCACACACACACACACACACACACACACACACACACCCCACACACACAACCACACACACACACACACCCCCACCCACACACCACACACACCCCCACACACACACACACACACACCCACACCCCCCACACACCCACCCCACAACCACACACACACACACACACACACACACACCCCCCACACACCGCTTCCTGCAAGAGGACGCTCCAGCTAAAGATTCTTTAATAGTTGAGCATCGACAGGGCACATTATAATGATGTCATCAATGTGTTGACTGATCAGCTGTTGTGTAGTTTGTGTGTTTGTGTTTTGATACCTTTGGTCTCTACGGCCTCCATCAGTCTGCTGAGGAGGGGAGGGGCCGTGTCCGGGGGTCCAAACTGCTCCGGGAGGTCGGGCAACACAAAGCCTGAAAACAAACACAATAAATATAAACTGTTAAAACATTTTCTTCAGATCAACGTGTGAACGAGGGGAAAGAAAACTCTAAATTCATGTGTCTCCAGATATTTGAGTATGAAGTTAAATGTCATCCCCCTCGCAAGTTGTCACCAGAGTTACTCTTCAATTAAACTAATTATCAATATGTCGACCAGTTAAATGTAGCGTCAAAGCTGTAACACAGCCAGACGCCACTAGTCGGGGCTGCAGCTAGGATTCATGGCTTGCTCTCCCGATCAGCACAGTGGACGAGTCACATAGAAGCAGCCCAGGTAAACTGACCTATAACCTCTCTACCGGAGTAAACAAACACTGTCCAGGCATGTTTACTTTAACCTGCATGGACAGACGGCTGCGGGTGTTTGCACGACTAACTACACTCAGCAATCTGACATCGTTGACCTGCAGAGTAAAGCACGTCCCAAAGTGTCACTCATTTCAACGACATTTAAAGTAGCTGCTGATTCTGTTATTAAAGACTGTGATGAATGAATGGGTTGTTACCATTTTAACTTTAATACAATTTAAGTAAACAAAAAAATAGAAGATCTCTGGCACCCAACATGAGGTAATGTGTAGAGTTTAATGATCAAACATTGCAGACAAACTTATTTAGATTTTTTTCAGTGGCTTATTCCTCCCCTACCCACCTTTCTAATGACATAACTGTTGTTTCTTTGTACTGTTTAATACTATCCTTCATTAAAATTAAAATCTATTACCTAGTGTTTAAAATGGGTACTGCAGTCCAAATTCTAAACATTGTAGAGAGCTGTCTCCCCCCGCCCCCTCCTCTCTTGAGTCGATGCTCACACAGGTCACCATGTGGTGGACACTGAAGCTTCAGTGTTTATCCAGCTCTGCATCGGTCTGTAAACCTTTCTGTGTTCTAACCTCTCTCCGTTTTTCAAAAGCATCTCCAATATTGATCCTAGTTTGAGCACGTTTCTGCTCGTGGAGCTTATCAGAAACATGCAGAGGCTTTTTAGGTCGGGTACAATCACTTCCATCTGAACCACTTCTCTTGGGTGGTGGTTTTAGGCTAAACGTGCCTCAGGTGAGTTTTGAGACTCGAGACATGTAAAACTGCTGCCTGCTTAATGTAAAGAGGCTTCAGATCTGAGAGGAGCTTATGATGATGATGAACATGAAGGAGATCAGGGAGAGAAAACATGAGGTGGAAATTTGCTGCTGAAGAAACGTAACGACTTCACAATGTTTCATATGTGGGGCTGAAAGAGTTTAGAGGGGTTCATGATGAATTAAAGTTAAAGCCTCAGGAAGCAGTGGGGATTTTTACAGTGGTGTGAAACAGACAGGTAACAACAGCCAGCACACACACACACACACACACACACACACACACACACACACACACACACACACACTAGAGAAAATCAGACGCACACACTTCCTGTGTTCTCTGGTAGGCTGGTGGCAGCAGAACAGAGCTGAGATCTGTTCAGTCAGCAACCACAACCCCGACCAAACACCAGCTGTGTGTGTGTGTGTTACTGGCAGAATGTGTGTTTGAGGATTTTTCGATAATGTGTTTTCCATCCTGTGGTTAAACTTCTATATATTCGAAGAAAATACCCCTTATTCCTCGTAAGATGTGTGAGTGCGCGCGTGTGTGTGTGTGTGTGTGTGTGTGTGTGTGTGTGTGTGTGTGTGTGTGTCTCTGTGCTTCTGAGGAAGCAGCTGAAGGAAACGGAGGTGTGAGTCACATTGAGCCATTTTCAGGGTGAAAACTTCTTCTTTGCAACAAGATCTGGTTGTGATCGACTTTAAAACATTACTTTTCTCTATTTACAAAAACACAACTTCATGTCTCTGATCTCGATCAGTGTTTTTATTTCCTTCTTGTGACTGAAGCTTGTAAAAATCTATCTTGAATGTGAAATATCATGACGTACTGCCTCCATCAAACGACCAATCAGAGCTCGTTTGCCGGTTTGATCAGCGGCCTGATGGATGTTTTCGTACTCACCCTCTGACTCGGAGTCGGTCCTCACCGACGCTGCAGACGGCGGTCTCGGTGGACGTGGCTTCGGTGTGGGCGGAGACAACCTCTTTCTGCCAACAAACTCCACGTACGTCCCGGGAAAGTCGCCTTTCTCCTGTCGGCCAAAATATTAAAAAAGGATAATTAGAGGTGTGAGACGAAAACTGTGTGATGACGACACTGGACGTGATTTTATTTTGATTTCCTACTTTCTATAAATTTAACGAATTTGTCGGTCCTTCTTTCTATTTTGTTCCAAGTACTATCGTAGGGCGTGAATGGTACGGCTTTTTAAAGCTTTGTAGTGATCGTGAGTATTAATGGTTAAAACCTAGATAGTATTATTTAAAGAGACGTGGGATCAGAAAGTATGTGACAATCAAAGTTTATCATTTCAGTAAAACTGTCTGCGCACTTTCTAACATGTGCAGGAGACGTCATACCTGTGTGGTCTCGTTGAAGCCCGGCAGCCAGCCGATCTCTGACGGCCGTTCTTCAGCTCCAACGCTGCAGTTGAGCGCCAGCAGCGCCCCCTTACTGACCAGCAGCATGTCTCCTACGTGCAGGCTGATGTCCTCTTCCCGCTCCTTCTTGTAGTCGTACAGCGCTCGGTACTGAAAGCCCTCGGAGCTCATCCTGATGGCTGTATGGCTTCACAATAACTAACAAAAAACTGCTCTGAATAAAAAAAATATAAAAATAAGAGGTTTCTCTTTTCCTGAGTGGATTAACGTGGAGAGTCTAGACTACGTGAATATGGCGTTTTCAGCTTTCTGTGTGTCTCTCCTGTCTCCATGTCTGCTAAAGTCCTGTCATCCCTCCAGGCCGAGCCACAGGCGTCCAATCAGAGCATCCTCGCTGTTCATAAACAGAAGTCTCAGCAGAGGTAGCGGCCACATCTGGGGAGGCGACGGGTCAACCTGCGAGATGAGAGAGGGGGGGCAAAGTTAACAAAGAGCAGGAGGAGACACGGGCTGTTTTTCGAAACCGCATACTATACTACTAGTACAGACTGATTTGGCCAAAATGGAGTATGCAGTATGTGAACAACTGTGAGATCTGCAGTATGCCAAAAATACCAGGATGTCATACTGATTCAGGAAAAATGTACAGTATGCATCGGACCAGTCTACCTCGCGTACTGTTTCCCACAATGCAAAGTGCCAGGTCAGATATCAAAATGCTGGAGCGCAGCTGTTTGAACTCGTCGATGGCGGTGACTGAATATCTTGCCACATTATGAACCAATAACAAATATGACATGTTCATATATTTATAAGTCTTACCACCTCGGATCTTCCTGCTTTTTAGACTGTACAGTGCATGTGCCACAGCTGGACAAGCAGCTGCAGTTACAGGGTCCTTGGCTTGTTCTATTACTACATATTATTCACAGCTGAGTAAAAGGACATTTCTTACTTCAACAGACAGAAAACCTCATAAAGATTCACACAGACGTATCTTATGACCGTTTTAACACTTTATTATAATTAGAGCAGTGTGGCGAGCGGACATCAGACATCAATGCGCACTCATCGCACATTGAAGCTGTTTTGACAGCAACATTGTGTTAACAAAGACTACAGTCTGCAGTGTAGAGCACACTTTACATTAAAGTAAATTGAGTTTCAATAGAACAGGTGAACGATTTAAGTGTCTGTCTGTTTCATCTTTCTCCTCTGTGCGTAATGACACACTCGCTCAAACTCGCTCGTCCGTTCCATTTTGTAGTTATTAAAATAATAATCATCTAAAATTCCAAAATATAGGAAAACATCTCATTATGCTGCTCTGTCCAGGATGATCAAACGTCATTGGTTTAGCGGAGTAAAGCCGTAATCGCAAAGTGAAAGTCCTTCTTTTTCTGTGGACTAAACAGACAATTTGAACTGAACTATCGTAGATCATATTGTTTGGGACTTTTTGTTCATTGTGAATTCATAAAGGGGTTAATTAAAGGGATATTTTTGTGAGGGTAGCAGCGTACGGATCAACGTGTTTCAGCACAGAGCCTTTATCAGCGCTTTGTCATCTATTTTCTTTTTGCGCTCGTGCACCTGAAGTTTTATTTCTGTATGAGTGTGCTCCTTTTTTTCTGTTTTGAATTAGGCCTATCCTAGAACCCACAATGCAACAAGAAACATTTACAAAAATGTGGACTACAAAACGATTATTGATTTAAAAAAAATTGTAACCGATTATTATGTAATGAACGAGTACTCGTTTGCACCCCTAGTATACAGTATATACTGCATACTGATTGAGATAGTAGTATGTTGTACGCGGTTTCGAAAACGGCCACGGATTCAGCAGTGAAAACATGACGGACAGAAGCATTTCAGGCCAAAACAATCAATGGATGAAAAATCAATGGATCCTTCAGACGCCGATAAAGACAGAAAACTACCTGCTCATTAAGACTGTCAAATACTACAATGTCGTAAAACACAACAAAATTTAGATCGAGCAGCTCGGTGATGTGTTTAGGCAACAAACACACACTGTAAAGATTTTCTTTTCACAATTTCTGACTTTATCATGAAGCTGATCAATAACCTAGAAAATAATCTGCAGATCGAATTGATGATTACAGTCTTTGTTGGGGGAAAAAAACATTAGCATTTTGCATTTTCTACTTCAAATAATTAATCAATAATCAAACGGAGAGGTAGATCATGTTTCAGTCAATAGACTCAATAAATCAATAAAGACATGCACACATCCCTCAGAGGCTGCTGGATCCACAAAACATGAATATGAAAGGAATTTTCTATCCTCAGTTTATAGACTTGTCACTAAAAGGAGAAATGGTTTCAGGTTCGGGTTTGAATATTATTTAAGATGAACAGGTCCTTCTCACAAACATTTCTAATCCTACAAAAGAGGCCAAACGTCGTCTTTCACCCTGCAGAACTTTAAAACGGGATTTAAACAAAAACTGAGACAAACGTGCAGCCAGATCGACGCTGTGTGAGCGATAAGATACAAGTAGAGACGCACCGTTTGGGAAAATCAGCGCCAATACCGACATTTTGAATTACTATATTAGCCGATTGCCGATTCCGATGTTTGTTTCATGTTTTGCTTTATGTTAACTGAAACAGGCGTGTCTCATAAATGTAAATGAAAATGAAAGTTTTAAAATGCTGTAACTCGTTTTAACGATCAGAGAAAAGGAATCGGACTGAAATGTAAGCAGAACAAATCCAGTGTAATGAACTGTTTTCATTCATATTTGATTTATTTGCTCGGGGTGGGAATACCCAGCAGCCCCACAATAAGATATTTTAAACATTTTGCGATGTGCTGAGAATTGCAATACAATATATTGCAATTACGCTTTTTTAACTGCATATTATGTCAACTACACTAAACCAAATCAAGAACTGTTTTGTCAAAAAATATCCGTCTATTCGCTTCGGCCTGTTTTAATTCTACACCACGAGCCCACAGACTGACAGACACAGTGATCAAAGTCAAACCCTGTCAGAGGCTGCACGCTCCTCACAATCTGAACTGTTGGTATTTCAGTCTGATCCAACTTTAACATAAACATGTACAAACGACAGAAGTCATTTTTAACAATGCAACTTGATCAAAAATTATTGTGCAACCCCTTCAGAAATTACACATTATAAAAGCCTATATGCTATTAATTAATATAATAAAGATATTGATACTTTGCAGCTTTGAGACGATATAATATCGTCACACAAACATACCTGAAAAAAAACGATCGGACTGAATTAAATAGTCTGCCAAAAAATTGAGCTCAGTGTAAATTAAGTTAAATGTTAAGGTATTATTTTGGTTGGTAAAAGCTTGTTAAGACCCGTTGATGGAAAGCATGAAATTAAAAACAAATAATTAAAAAATATTTGAGCTCCGTTTTCCCTGCCAAAAATAAATGTGTGTGTGTGTCTGTTTATGTTAGTGTCTGCTTATGTATGTAAATATATGTGTTTATTTCACCTAGTACATTCATTTTCTGTGAGATCAACTGCAACCACTATCTATTCATATGGATTTTTATTTAATTAATTATATTTTTAGGTATAAATCAAAACAAAAATTGAAAAATCATACATCTATATTTGGCTTGATTATTTTTCCTTTTAATTATCCTATTCATTATTAGTGTTCTCTATAATTAATACTATATAACGTGTTAATTTCCCACAATAGGGGATCAATAAAGATTATCTTACCCTAAATCACTGGTAAACGATCAAAATAATAGATAAAACATCACATGTGTGACTTTCGGACTGATGTATTAAGAAAATGTTATTTATATTTTTTTATCAGATATTCAGACATCAGTTCTTGTCTGGAGACAGAAAGTAAACAGACTTAATCGTATTTAAAGAAAGATTTTGCGTTTACAGTCTAAATAAATCAGGTCGAAATATAAACACAATAGTTGGATGGCTACAATATTAATTATTTTTTCAAAGTGTTATTAAAAAGCTAATTTAATCTTAAGTGCACACAAAAAACACAAATTTAAATTGTTTTTCTTTTAGGTAAACAGTTAGTTTAAGGAAAACGGAACGAAATGAAATATTCGTTACTTTCCAATCAAAGGCGACAAACAAGCAAATTAAAAGTTAATATTAAATCCAGTTAGACTCTCTCACTTGTAACCTGTGGGTTAATATTAATATATGTATGAAATCAGTGTCATAAAAGCAAAGACAAGTCGCTCAGACATTCAATCCCTCCAGGAAACGGGAAACGACAATGCATGCCAATGCTATCTTAGCTTGTTAGCTTGTGTCAGTCGCGCGAACGCCTCACCTTTTGGGGGTTTTTCAACAGGTATATCTTCCAGCAGAGCAAACAGCCGACGCCATTGTTGAGCAAGGGGGGAGACACGACGTCCAGGTGCTCTCCAAACTGAAATACCCCGATATTAAATCGATTATTTCCAAGATAGAAACACTCGTGGATCAGCCGTCTGAACCTCTGATGCTAGCTCGCTGTCAAGTGCTAGATTATGAACGGCACTTCCGGTACAGACTGTCAAAATAAAACGACTCTTAAAGTGAATCAAACTCAAAGAACTTAAAATATTATAAACTTTCATAACAAAATGCTCATGATTAAAAATGTATATTATTTACTTAAAGATCCATATTTAAATGGTACATTGTGCTATCTTAAACACATTATATAACATCGTGAAGCGCAGACGTGGCAAGTTCCGGATGCCCTTCAAAATTAAATACTCATCGGGCACATGTGATGCAAAATTAATGCGTTTCAAAGATCCAGCGACTTAATAGTGATATTTTACGAGGGATTACAAGGTCACAGATTCATTTTCTGACCAAGGGACCTTTCTTGTCACGTTTTTGTATCGTTGTTTGGCTGAAGAGACCGTTTCTTACGAGATTACAACCGATTACAGCTGGGCAGGGAGGCAGGGCCCCTACGTCACAACCGGTAACCTAGATTTTAATGCAGAGTGCAGCGCTGTCAGGGAGAGGGGACCATAGCAACAAAAGAATGTGTGTGTGTGTGTGTGTGTGTGTGTGTGTGTGTGTGTGTGTGTGTGTGTGTGTGTGTGAGATGGGGGTGGACTATATTCTCTCTGTCCTCATTTTTTTCAGGTCTTACACAAGCATCACAGTCTGAAAATAATGTGTGTGTGTGTGTGTGTGTGTGTGTGTGTGTCTGGGTCTGATGGAGGACCATTTTCTGCGCGTGTGTGTGTGTGTGTGTGTGTGTGTGTGTGTGTGTGTGTGTGTGTGTGTGTGTGTGTGTGTGTGTGTGTGTTAGTGTGCGTCTGCCTGTGTTCGTTTTTATGTGTGTGTCAGTGAAAAGCAGGGTGACTCCTGTATCATGTGACTGCTGCTGAGGCTTTTCCAGAACAAACTGCACATCACATGCAGGGCTGCACATCCACCATCGACACACCTTCAATCACCACAGACAGTTTACCAAATCAAAATATTAAACCTTTATTTACAACAGACATTGACACGGAAATAACTGTGAAAATACAATCATCATCCCGTTATTTAGTTCATAGATTATAAAAATTAAGGCACAAGTTTGGTGCACTCTCAGTTCACATCAATTAAGTAGATTTGAATAGAATATTAATGAACCTCTGCATATTAAAAACAGACTTCAAATGCAAAAAGCTCTGTAGAGATAGAGGCTGCAGAGAGTATAGTTCAGTTCATCATGTATTTACTCCCTTTGATATCTTTTAAATAGATTTAAAAGAGATTTCATCGTGTTTAACCCTGGATATGTTTCACACAAATTTGGGTTAAGAAAGCAATTTTCTGTCTCACAACCCGATTCCAGTGTGAGGCCGAGAAGATAAGGAGCACAGCATCTGAGGAAAACATCAGGTCCTCATTATAATCATCTTCTAGGGGAGGGAGGGCACAACCATACAACATCAATTTAATATAAAAAAAAGTCTGGGTGTCGCCCCGAGCTGGGGCAAAATATCATGTTAATGAATTCATATTGAAGCATCATTCCTGTATTCTTAAACCTTGGCCTCGTTTTCACACACATCACAGCCTAAAGGACGCATAAATAATTTAAAACGTTTTGGAACAGAAACAGCTGTTACATCGCTGCTTTCAAATGCACCAGACCAACACTTACATTGCAGAACATAAGAGCTGCAGGTCCACGCTGCCTAAGTTAGTTCATTTTCATTTTATTTAATTATTAAAAAACAACAACAAAGCCACACAACAGCCCTACGAAGTCTCGCCTTCAATATGAAGGTAATGAAGGCATAAATAGGAGACCAAGCGATCCCTCTGTACCGCCATCGGATGTAGTAACAGAGACAGGATCGACAGAGCCAGCAGGGGAAAGCAGCTTTGAGTGTGTTTAAGTGGAGCGCCTGCTGTTTCTCTACATGTCGTGCTCACTGTGAATTCAGACCGGGACACCAATATTACTCTGTGTGGAATCAGTGTGAATGATCAAAGACGTGGTGACAGCTGAGCTTCATTATGTGCGTCTGAAGAAGAATAATAACCCAAATAAACTAACCAACCTCGGCAGAAGTAGTCAAGTAACTCCTGTTGATTTAAGATGCAAGAAAAAATACAGATATATTAACGCAGTAGTGTTATTTAAATTTGATATGATACAACGAGAATTTAAATGATATCGATACCCGATTCATTACAGAAAAGTCTGAGGTGTACAATATTGGAAATTTACAAAAAAGTGTAATTTAGGATGGTTTCATTCCTCTCCTACGTACCGGTGTTATGATATATTAGTGTTTTTTTTATTCTTTTGCACTATTAGATACTTTAGATACTAAGAAAGCTTTCATTTAAAAACACTTGGTAACCTTTTAATGGAGTGTTGTTGCTTTGAAGAGGTTGATGTAAAGTTTATATCTACAGACACTTTAAAATAAAAAGGTCTCTCTCTGTAGAGATCTTTTCTGTCATGTTTTCAGACACAGAATAAAATCTGAATCTGTCAGTGGAAACAAAAACAGGAACGTTTAGTAGACAAATAAGACCATGTTTAAAAATAAAGGAATTAGACTTATAAGAGGTGCAGTGATGGAATATTTGTTCCTTATCTCCTGCACTAACACGTGGACCTGTAAACAACCTGTAAAATCCTGAGTTTACGCCTTCTTAGTTCTTACTGCTGTGTTTTTCTGAAGTTCTTCTACAAGCTGAAGATGTTTCCCAGCCTGTGAACCGACAGGACGATCCTCCCCGACAGCTGCAGCTCGTCCTTCAGGAAACGTCCCGCCTGCTCGGCCTGCAGAACGTCACAGAACACCCAGATCTCCGCCCGCTCCCTTTGAATGTTGGCGTTGCAGCTCGGCAGCTTGGAGGAGCTCTGGACGCATCTGCTCAGAGTCCGCCACACCTGAAGGGAGGAGCAGAACGGACGAGGTGAGGTGAGAAAGAAAACAAAGATGGAGGACAAACGGTACAAGGGGAGAAGAGGACAGAGAAGATGCAGAGATACATTCAAATACTTCACGTTTCTGATTATGAAGAATGTGTCATATTTCACTCAAAAGGACCAAATCTACATTTTGTGTGTCCTCGTAATCATCACGTACAAACAAACTAAAATTCAGTTCACTTGGTCGCCGGTGGCCTAGTGGTCAGAGCGTGAACCCCGTGTACAGAGGCTGTAGTCTCTCTCTCTCTCTCTCTCTCTCAAAAAGGTATAAAGAGCCCCAAAAATAAATCAATAATTCAGTTCACTGTCATGAACGATAAAGAACCAACGAAACGAGACCACAAGATTTAAAATGATGCAATCTCTTTTTTCCCCAATCGATAGTATCAGCAGCTTCAAGTTAAACTATTTCATGAGACTGTTGCGTACGAGAATTAACCCAAAAAAAGTTGAAAGCAAATCTGCTAACAATGTGTAAATTGTACAAATCCATTGGCAACTCTGTGCCGAAACACTGCTTACGTATTTGTGCAGTTTAGACAGTGTGCAGGCGTTTTCCTTTCTTGTTCTCTGTAAGGTGTCTGGGACTTCTATTTGTGTTGCCATGTTATTCAAAATATAAAAAAACGTCCACACATCCATTTCACAAGACAGACGCATACGAGAGAAGAGAGTCCATCCAAAACGTAAAGGGAAACTGTTTGTCTGATGAAGGTCTAGTGCTGAAACGTAAATAGTAAATGGACTTGAGGGTGTATCGTTCTTTTCTAGTCTTCTGAGTGTTCAAAGCTCTTTTACACCACAGGTCACACCTACACATTCACACCCTGATGGTAGAGGCTGCTGTGTAGTGAGAACATCAGAAGTAACTTATCCCTTCATACACATGACCGAAGCAGCTGGAGCAATTCAGGGTTTAAGTGACTTGCCCAAGGACACGTCGGAGATGTTGCAGCAGGAGCTGGGGATTGAACCCTCAACCTTCCTGTTGAGAGACGATTGACTCTACAAACTGAGCCACAGGCCGCCCCGTTAAACTTTGCCATGAAATGTTTGTTTGCAAGTTTGACAGTGTGCGGGAGTTTACCTTGATGTTGCCGTGTTGTAAGAACATATAATGACATCATTTTTTACTAGAATCGTTTAAAAGCTTGAAAGTTCTGGTATCATGACTGGAGCACAAATAAAAACATCTTGTTGTTGAAGTTCAAGAAAGCTGTGTAGAAAATCTGAAACGTGATGTTAAACGTTGACTCCTGTCTGTGTAGTAAACCTGGTGATGAACTAACTGTGGAGGTCACTGAGCTCAGTGGAAAAACTAAGTCAAGGATGGTGGTTCAGATAAAAACCCACACTGACACAGAAACATAAACACGAACTGTCAGCGTTTACCATGAACTCTGCTGAGTGTGATGCAGGTCCCCACTTCCCACACATTCACGTTCCCCTTCAGACGGAAATAACTTCTTATCTGGTGCCATGATCAGGTCAACATGTTAATGTGTCCAACGCTTTGATTTATGACCTAATGATTGCAGAAGTAATAAGATTCCCGTCAGCCTCAGCAGTACTTTGGGTTTATTACTTATTTACTGACGCTAGCATGCTAGCTGGCATTAGCTGTAATTGATTGAGAACTCTGCTGTCGGGCTTTTAACCCGATCAATAAAGAGACAGTGTGACCTCTGAGTTATCGAACCTGCACTGACTGGTTTAGAAAGATGTTTTCAAGTTCTTTTATGAGTTGACACGTTTTGTGTATGGCCTTCAAAAATCAATGATGGAAGTCTTGCAATGAAAAAAATACAAAACAGAAACTATATTCTTAAATCATTTGCAGCCAGTTTTCAAAACTCAAGCTGTGGTGTGCTCGATGGCCTTGTGGTTATGTCGTGCGCCCCCATGTACAGAAGCCATAGTCCGTGCAGCAGCAGCCGTAGGTTTTAATCAGACCTTGCCCTTTGCTGCATGTTGTCTCCCCACTCTTTTTTTCCCAACATGTCCCGTCTCTCTTTAGCTGTCCTAATCCAATAAAGGCAAAAAGATTTCCAAAAACTATCT